TAGGGAAACAATTATTCGAGGGGAATAATAAAGCGAAATCATAGTTACTAATTCTAATGTACATGAATCAGATAAACGTTGATTAGGTCAACAAGACTACGAGGTCCGCTGAAATTGATTTGAATTTATACTATCGATTGAGTTGCGGTTGGACATAAAAATCTTTTGATTGCACTATACGTCGAGCCAATTGATTCAAACAAACACATATTCTTCCTCGATCTAATTAAATTTTGGCCAAATCTGGTGTACACGGAATTAACGCATTTCAAATAAATTGTTTCGTCGCTCTTCGCACGTCAACTCCATCGCGAACTTAATTTAGAACAGCTATTGATTGGATTAGAAACAATTAACTCAGTTGACTCGAACCGAATGAGTCTATTTATTGCAAACGATCTCAACAGCTGGACCATAGCAATTAAAAGTGAATATATGTTAATCATATGTTACGTTTAGGAAACTAGAATTGTGGAAGAAAGGAAAAATACGTCTCACCAATTGTACACTGTTAAAAATGTTTATAATTTGTATACACTTCAAAATGATAAATGCGATGTCTTAATAGGGAGATCGTATACATTTATTACGAATTTCCGATTTCACAATTATTAAATTCATAATTCTATGACATCGCGTTATAATTTTGTGAAATTGTGTAGGAAAATTAATGCACTCGTACATCTTCCTACGAAATTATATGATGGACTACCGTCACCCAGCAATACCGTGCATTCAGTTTCCGCTAATTAGACGCTTGTAAGCCACGAGATGGTATTACATAAATGAAAAGCAGAAACACAATTTACGTATAATATATTGCGACAGCGATCCCACTCGACTCTCCGTCCTTTGATAAGGTTCAGAGGAGGAAACCGCGGGCGTCAAAGAAATTGGGCCGCGGGAATTGCGCTTGGATGGACCGAAATCCGACCAAGTCGCCGCCAACAGTAATCTACTTATCCACCGTGATCCTATTCCCGAAATCGGGCCTAGAAGTGAAGCTTCCCAATTTCCGAAGTGGGTTCACGAAATTCAGGGTCCCCGCAATCTAGATGCGTGAATTTCTCTTTTAATTAATTGCTCTTTAAAGTCGGAAGCGAAAAGGTAACCATCGATAACTAACACAACTGACTCGATCGATCGATACCATCCAACTGAACTGAACTGACTGAACTGAATCGATAACTAAAACAACAAAAAGGAAATACCTGTCTATGTCGAAAATTTGTAAAGGCGCTAGTTAAAATCTAACGAGAGTACCAGCCTACCAGTGCAGGGACTAGGTCGGAAAGTAACACTTTTCTAAATAGAGTCTAGCTATAATATCCTAAATTAACTGAATGGAGAAAAATCGAGAAAATGTATGCTTAATTCAATTTTAAGTAGACTCTAGCTAAGCACTAACAGGTAAAGCTTAGACAAAATTGTCTTGATGGAGGACCAAGTCCTAACTAGGAACCCTGTCTAAGAATTCCTAGTCATTTTTCCCCACGGATATATAGTAAATCACCAAATTCTTCCAAGTAATATCCACTATATCCGTGACCAAGCCCGCCAAATCAGTAAAAATTGTCCAATACAAAATCGAACTTAACAAAAATGTCCTGTTTTGGCTTCACCTTCCTAGTGATGGCTGTCATAGATAAGCGATGCTTGCTCCTGACTCGTAAAGGACTCAGCATCCTAGGACTGTTGTACATATTTGCGCTGCTGACGGACACAGCAAACACATTTCTCACCTGCCGAAAGCTTATGACGACCGCAGAAAAATCTAACGGAATAACCAACTCCTGGTCTCGGAGGACCTCGACATTCGCATAGACAGATTCGCCCAGAGCTGTTACTATAACGATTACCTGGCATCCTCTGGGATATTAGTGGCTACCCAATGTCCACGGTGGATACCTGGCCTCGCATTCCGTCCGGTAACACCATCAACGAATTTTCCTCCCACCGTGTTCCTATCGATCGACTTTCCCCAGTGGCAAATCCGTCGCACTCGTATGCTCGAGGCAGAATAGGCGCGATAATTTGGCGGTTTGCCCCAACATCCTGTGCCCCCAAATTCCACGCATCCCTTCCAGGCCTCGAGGTAACGGCGGAGTTCCTCGGCGACGAGATAGATGGACCCAGGTCCCCGATTTGGCCTAATTGGTCCGGGACCCATTAAGGACTACGAATCAGCTGATCTCTGCTCAACGGAGCATCGGTGCTAGGATAGGAATCTCATCAGTCCAGGTTCCATGGTGCACCGATGCTCCAGGTCATCCTCTTAATCCCCATCGGATGAGGCTGTGATCGGCTAGCGGGGTCTCCTCCACGTCGTTCCAAGCCCGAAATGTCATATCTGGTAAAAAGAAAAAATTGTCCTGCGCCAGAGAGGACCCTAGCCAAAAATTAGGAACCGTCTCGAGAAGTTCCTGCACCGCATTCTTCTTTACAGTAACCCCTGACGATCCTCCTCGAGAACACTCACGAAGTGGAGGAGAGCACCACTTTGGAACGTGGAGTAGCCACCACGTAAAAGCATATGTAATTACACGTGCAACGCAAGTTGTTTATTCATGTCTCTTCAAATGTGACTTCATTATCGTCATCAAATCCGTAATTAAGTTGGCCCTTAAATGCATAGCGTCGCCGTTTGGCAGCATCCGGCTAATTTAAATGCACGGAGCGGTGTCGTGCATTTAAGGGGTAATTAGAAATAAGAACTGAGAGAGTTAAAGGGTAGGAAAACAGATGCGCCCGAGATCCATCGTTTTGCACGTCTTCTTCCGTGGCTCTTCTAAACCCGTCTCGTTGACTTTTTTTTCATTAGAAGTTATTAACCCCGTCATACGTACCTTGCGTTTGTGGTAGCGCAGAGGGCGTCTTATTTCGGCAATTTGATTAGTCAGTTCTTCCTGATATGATTACTTTATATAAGGTACCTGCGAAGAGAGCCCGTCATCCCCGCCTAAGGTAGTTCAACAGTGGACATAAGAATCCATCGATCAAATTGCCGACATAAAACGCCATATTAAATTTCCTGGAATTGAATTAGCCAATTTCTTATGCTATGCTTATGGGTATTAAATTGGCTAGCTCCTTATGCCGTGCTTATGGATATCTTTATGCAAGATATGTGTGAAGGCCTTTAACCCCGGTCTTGCTCGGGTTCGTTTAGTAAACTTTTTTTGTTCTATCAAGGATCTCACATAGACTAATTGTTAGTCCCGAATCGCAAAACGATTGGACCAAACAATTGATGAAATTCACGGCTTCGATGTAACCGAAAACCTCTATATTCAAAATTTCATACCTAAGAACCGATCCGATCTCAAATTAGAATGTGAACAGCCATACAGACAAACACTGATCAATTAATAGTAAGGATACATTACGTAATTCATGAACTTCGTTGTAAGATAATTAAAAAAATAAACATGATTTGAAATTTTACAAAATGTGTCGTGAATTCGATTGTTTCCAGAGAAATGCTAGATACGTTATAAAAAGAAGTCATCCTTTTTTAAGTAACACTGTACATGTTAATTCGAAATTCAAAGGAAGCCATATTGTATAAAAATAGAATGTTTATGCGTCTTTATTCTTTCTTCATTTATTTTACTTACGTTTTCTAAATAACGAATCTTTATCAAAAGGTAATATCAATGAAACGAAATAAATCGTTAATGAACACTTAGCTTCTTTAATGTATCAATCTTAAGATTATATAATCACACATTTTTCTTATCATTGCTGGAAAATCAAGAGTATGCTGTTTCTTGCATGTACTGACCCAATTGAAAAGTTTCCAGTCGACCTTCTCCCTTTTAGTTTAATGGAATAGCAATGTTAACGGAATCTTTCGAAGCGCTATTTTGACTTGTCAGTTGTTGGAACTTCGAAGCTCAGTCAGGGAACAGACTTTCCTAAGAGATAGACTCTCGTCGTTAGCATTGAATTGTCTTATAGCAATCTTCTCGGAAATACTTCTTCCCATAGGAAGGTTCGCAAAACTCGACAGATTGCAAAGTTATGGATCGTGACACATCCTTCAACTTCGCCAACAAACTTTCTGGAGCCCTTCACTCGATATAATTTACATACGAATACACAACCATAACCGATATTGACTGTTCACAATCTTCCCCGCCTACAACTATGCACATAAGAATGGCCAATACATAAAAATAACTCGTGTTACGTATAAAGTAAAAATGAAATGCCCTTGTAATAAATTTACATTAGAACTAATATGAAAATCCAATTTAATATTAAACCAATATTAAACTCCCAAGTCCAGTGTTAGGTAGATACACATTTTGAATGTCTCCCAATTTGGCTGATCAATTTCTGCCTTTCTGTCACGCGTAAATTGTTAACATTTACACCAAACCAAAATAACCTTTAAGCCTTTCATCGCGTATATAAATCATTTATATGAATCTTTACTATGTATTATTTGGTATTCTCATTGTTCTTCTGTGCTGCACTTTTTACGTCCTCGTAAAAGGATCGCATAAAAGTCTCAACCTTGTTGCAGTGTACGCGTGTCAAATGGGTAGCAATGGTCCAGATATTCAGCAATGGAATCCCAGATAATTAACGTACCCATACCAAGCCATTCGTATGTGTTACAAGCAATCGTATTCTGGTACATAGATTGTCTACCTCCGGTTCGTCAATTGATATGTACACGGACGCCGCCGTTGAAAAGTGATGTAGGTCAGTATCGGTTTGGCACCGTCGACGTGAAATGCAGAGCTGATGGCACATTTTGAACGAAGGGTCAGCATTTCTTTGCCCCTGACGGCATTCAAATGGTTTTGTGTCGTTTCCAATACTTTTCCACTGAATGAAACACTAACTTCGTACATGAAATGGATAAAAAGTATTCAAAATGAAATACAGTCAAAACATTGGTTGCAAATGCTTTGCGACTAAAAAATCTTATATTTCGTAAGGGTGGTACAAAAATACCATTAAATAATATTCTTACAAAGATGTCCTTTTTATGAAACGGAAAGTGCTATAATGGATTTAAGTGGAATCTGTAATGCGGTGCGATCTATTAAACAAATGTAGTCCGCTTTAAATTTTAATAAAAAGTGTGCTTTCTACACATAATCTGCCGATTTCACATGTAAATTGTCATGTTTAATATAATATATAAAATACGTTAAACTCTTTGAAGAAACAATCAAGGAGAGTAATCCCGTTGACGTTTCTTTTTTCGAGTAAAAAATACATAAGTTGTCGATTCAAAATATAAAGCCTTTTTCTGAAAAATGTAAAGGATTCAGAATTTCCTGTAATGCATGTAGGTAGATATTTTTTTTGTAAACGTGATACTCGACGCCAATATCGAAACAATTATACAATTTTCGTGGTAATTCTACTTGTAACGAGGCCGAATTTCTGTCCGCAATTCGAGCACGAGGAATCTAACTCACGGATGGGGAATCGGAGTATGAATAATTTAGACGAAATTTCGGACTCGCTGGAAACCCGACGAAAAAAGAGGAGAGACCTGGTACGGTCGTCGGAAGAAATTCACGAGAAATTTTGGGAAGGTGGAGGACCTGACAACGTCCTGTTGTCCTCGGATGTCAAACTTCTCGACCGTAACGAAGGATCTGGACCATAACGTGAGATCCGACACCTTCAACCTCCTTCAATCACCTAACTCCATTGAAGGTTCATGGTCCGGAAAGTTTGATTGACTTCATCCGACAATAACGTCAAAATCTGCAAATTTACAAACATAATTAACTTTCGGTAATTAATACATTTACTCGCCAATAAATACTCTTATTCGATTTCAAGGTGAAAAAATGTGTAGTACAGATAGTTCTCGCCTGTCTGAATTAATTAGTTCCTGGCGACGGTCCGTAAATCGAGAACTCGTAAAGATGAAAACTTATAAAACGAACATTACGTAAGAAAGAATACATAAAATATAGAAATTCGTAAAACGGGTATTCGTGAAGAGTTGCCTGTACATGACTACAGTGCCGAACAAGTTACGCATTACAGCTTTATAAATTTAATAAATTATTTCTCTCGCTAAAATCTGTAAATTTCCAACAAGGGTTATACATTACACCTTCGCTCACGTTGTTCAAAATACTGGTAAATTATTTCACTAAAATCTGTAAATTTACGAAAAGAAGTTGCCCATTATGCTTTTGCTCAGATTGTTTAAAATACTGTTAAATTATTTCACTGGCTTAATTAATCTAATTCTGCGGACAGGGATCTCGTATAAAGCTCTCGGTATCAGCTCGGTTGTCATACTTTTTCAACAGGTAAGGGTCACAGCAGAATAGCCATTGATCTGTCGGGTGAACGTTCGTCCGTTATATACTCCCTTTGGAATACGAGGTCACGTGTAAATATATACCCGTCCACATATAACTGTATAAAAGAAGTAAAATCCGGACAGCAAAATGAAAAACTGCAAAAATTCCACCGCCGAGATACGCTATCGGTATTTCCTTTAGAAGTAATATGGCAAATTCGAAAGTTATTTCGCTCTTCTGCTGTCCTTATTTTCCTCTGGCACTTAAATAATCTATATACCTTTCAGGGCGCCTTTAAGTACCGACTGCTGCATAAAATAGTAACATGTTTTCAAAGACATAACGTAATCGTCCTTTGAGGATCATTTTCAGGATATCTCGAGAGATTTGAAAAGCATTTTACATCATTTATACATTCCTATGACCTAACTTGGAAAGACGCAACTACTTCTTGCGAAACAATGTGCATACAATAAATCGACAATAGTGTAGACTTAGGTAACGGATAGATCGATATCTGTACCGGATTTGTATACGGAAACATTTCGTCCGTGATTTAATTTCATGTTAATCTTTTAACATTTAAAACAGCGAAATTAATATTAGATTCATTCTAAAAACGGAATAATTATTTTTGGAATATTAGGTTTTAATTATAAGTCAAAGTAGATTTACGTTCACTTTTTGACGAGAGGTAGAATGATGCTAGAGAAGATAGTGTAACCGATTAGACTTTAACTCTGAAATTATTACTTATATTCACGGCTTTTAAAGTTCCCGGTTATGAATGTATCCTATTCAATTTTGAATCAGTAGAGCAATACTTTACACGGATTTATAAAACTATAAATTATTATAAGTATATTTCAGAATACATTGTCACCGACACAACTACTTGAAAAAGACTTCTTCGAATCAATGAAATCGGTTCCAAATGGAACTCAATAAGCCTATATGTAGAGATATGTAGGTCATCAATTGAAATTTTTGTTCGTTTCAGCGGAAAAAGCTCTTAAGGTTGCAATTCCCTCTTCCTCCCTCCTTGAATAGCACCCCTTCAACTTTGCTAGGTATAACTTTTGAGATTGAGAAACCATGTTCGAATTAAAATTATTCAATATGCCCTGCACTACTAAAATGTATACCCTACTTGCATAATGTAGATTAAACGAACAATCTAATCCGAACGAAAAACATTAGAGATTCCATGAAACCTGCTTTGCGATTTTAGGATAAGCCCTAACATCGTTTAATATTTATTCATATTATATCTGTTTATTTAAGTGACTGGAAGTTCTGAAGATTCACGAAGAGAATGGTTACTGTGAAAAAATGGGTGGTAAAAAAGTTTCAAAGATGAGAAGAGAAAACCTGTGAATTAAAGCGTACCTCCAATCGCCAGATCAATGACCGATCGAGAAACCGTTCTTCTTCTCTGAGGTTGTTGAAGGTGTGCATATTCAGGAGGTACTTGCAAGCTCACTGTACGAGCTGGTCCACGATCTGTAGTGCGACGAGCAGCAGCCGCCTTTGCTCTTTCTTTCTTCTTTTCTGTTTTATTCCTAAAAGCGGATTGTACAATTAATCAGTTTCATTTAAGTGATCTAAAAGTGGCGTCTGAGGGGTCTCGGGTAAGAAACCTTTCTCCGAACTGAGAATATCAAATCGTTTGAAATTTTATCACCTTAATATGGAGGTTCTAAGGAAAGTCCTGACACCTATAAAATTTTATTTTGTATAAACATGTTTTTAATTTATTATAAAAAAGGATAGTTTATGGGTGTCAATGGGTGAAAATTTTAAACAATTCTATATGCCTATATAATGTATATAATAGCCTATATATGATATATAAGTTTTATAAGCAGTTGACTTCTCAGATGTCACTTTCATATCACTTTAAGATATACAATTAAATAATCAATGACAAATCTATACTACATAAACTTTTTGTTTAAATTACCAAGTATTTCAAAACGATTGTCGTATTAACAAATATTGTATTAACATGTGAATAAGATCATTTCGAATCAATGTATAGATGTTAGAAAGAGAGAAAAGCCTTGTCAATTAAATTGCCTGCAATCCCAACTTATCTATTTCCGAATATCAATACGATTTGATTAAATGTACTATAAATTTGAAATAGACTTTTAATAAAAGAATATGCCATTTAGCTCTCTAGATATGAAATCCATTTCATTGAATTAATAGATTTAAATTATGAATACGTGGCTTTAGATGACCAGAAAGAAAAGAGAATATGTACCAGCAGCCAATAATAAATGCCCCGTAGAAAGCTCCAAAAAGGTAAAACCAATTTCATTACTTGCTTCTTTTACCTCAAAAGCCCATTTCGTGCAGAGCATAAAGCGGATTTAAATATCCGACATGAAGAGGCTCGTAATGGTTGCACTGAGGAACGCTTCTAGGAAATTATGCACGAAATTGATACTTAACCCAACGTTTACTCGCAAAATAGAAATTTCTTCCGGGAATTAACATAATGGGGACAATTTTCTAGCAAATTTCTGGAACCATGAACTTCAATTTCAAGTGACATTCTTCCTCTAGCTCAATGAAGATAACTACTTGTAATAAAGTTAGAGTACCAAGTTTAAAACCAGAACGTGTATATTACTAACATTCTTTTATAAACTAACATAGTAATTGAATTATGTATAATATATCTCGGCCACATAGAGACCCAAGAAGGAAAAGTCATTAAAAACCGATTAATGTATGAAATTTGTATCGAAAAACGAAATTTCGAAAATCGTATTTATTCACGTACATATTTTACCGGAATTGTGAACGAATGTTCAATTTTAGTGATTGTTTAACCATGGAATTCGAAATATTTGAAAATAAATTTAAAGACTCTCATTATTGATAATGGTACTTCAAGTACTCCTACCAGATGTTTTAATATTTTCCCCTTTTCCTAGATTAAATATAAAGAAAAACGTACATTGTGGAATCTAGAACAACGGGAGATTGTACGAAGGAACAAAATATGCTGCATAGGTACATGGATCCACACATGTGCCTGACCACGAACCGAGCATGTTCAGCAGATATTTCAGGATATAGTTGAAACTTCCCTAACTATAAAACTCCCGCCTTCTAACCCTTGTGGCAACGTCAATTCTGGAAGTAAATCGGATGTTCCCCTGTATAGGATTTGAAACTATTCATCAAAGATTTGCGAAAAATACGTCACCTATGAATCTGACAAGGGAATAACAGGCGGAAAGTAACGTAAATTGTCGAGACACAATTCGCAGTTGCATTGACCAGGTTGACTCCTATTCGAGACGAAACAGCTCGTCGAGCGCGACGTAAGCACGGGCCGAGGGCAATGAATCTCAGTGCTGGCAAAGATCCAAAGGCTCGCAAGAAGAGAACTCTTTTCTACAAAGAATCCCTCGAGCAACCTTAATATATTTCGCGTTAAACAGAGATGATTGACCGCCGCTACAAGAAATCATGTCATAAGACAAATTGCCACGGAAACTTATCAATTTCGTCATGATGCATTACAAGCTCGTCAACATTAACAGATTAGCTTTTGCGTTAATTATGAATGTTAAGTGAGGCTTGCTATTTTTCTAATTCCTAAAGAAAATGTATATCCATAAATTTTGGCTAACGCGATCTGGCAATTGATACATGGATTTCGATTTGTCCATGTCTGTTGAATTATTCTTGTTCCTTTATGAGACTTTTTTTATACAGAGTATTCGTAATAGTGAATGGTGATAACGGTTAATACCATAATTAAGAAAGCGGAGAATGATTTTGAAAATATGTTAACAACTTTTTAAGTCTATTATCTGATTTTTAAGTTAATAAGAGCAAAAGTTAAGGAATTAAGTGTTAACTTGAATTGTAGGGTGCTTGTAGCAGGAGAGAAATTTTCTTACGATGTACGAACAAATACTAATCACTTAACTATCGGCTAAAATGTGCCCCTGATTGGTCACTCGTAATTTCTTAGAACTTGAAAGTCTGATTATTTCGAAAAGTTAATAAGAACTTTTCACGACGTCTTTCATGGCTCTATTAATCTACTACCGTCAACTAGACGCCCTATATACGTGCAACCTAAAGGAAAGCAAGAATAACCTTCTTAATAAATTGTAATGTCGCTATGATTTAATTAAGAACACTATTTGTAATATTTACCATTTGTATACCGGCAATAATATGATCACTTAATTAAAATAAACTCTAAATTTAATATACAAAAATGTAGCCCATTGTACACAGTTTACGGAAATGAATAGGTAGTTGAACACAATTTATCAATTAGTAATTCTCACAATGATCAATTTTTGTTTTTTTTTTATATCATATAAATTATACTTTACATATCTCCATACCATCTAGTTTGTATTAGAGTTTATTTAGATTTTAATATATATTTTTTATTAAGTTATGCACGCACGGCAAGTAACATTATATCTAGATAACATGAAGTTAATGTCGCAAGTAGCCATAATGTTGAATCAACATATTAATCATTTTATTTCAGGTATAATATTTTTATTTCGGGTTTTACTGAAATCAACCCGGTTCACCACCTATACTTTAACGATACTTCCTTTTGTTTAATAAGGACAAATGTGTATACATGCATTTACTTATAAAGAGTTACAATGATCAATGCCTTACCTCGTTACACTCTCGCTGATGAAATACTCGGATTCTTTTGTAAAATTACATAATCGTGCATCGAAGCCAATAATTACAGAACTGGTCTTCATCGCTACTTCGAAAGCTTCTCCAGCTATCCACATAATTATCACAAAATTGTTATAAATAAAAAATAATGAATTATACAAAGGTAACAAGTTCAAAATGTTCATATTGGCATTGAATAAACAATTAGGGCATAAAAAAGAAAAATGGATTCCTTGAAAATGCCTTACCTATAGGTCCAAAATTATTGTTTGACAGGTCGACCTCTAAACTGTAAAATTTCATACATCCAGAAGCAATTATTTCGGCCATACCCATTCCAGTATTTGCAGTCAATCCACATCCACTAACGTTTATATATTCCAAGCCACCGTGCCTCAGTAATACTAGACAAATATTTATTAAACACACTCTCATTAATTTCAAAGACATTCTACGAACCATTACTCGCTACATCTTCTGCCATAGTCTGCATTTATATTTAAAATCTAATTTCAAAGTCTTATAGAGAAAAAATAAATATTAAAATTATACACCTATTTTGTGCATTCCTGGAATACGTTTTTCGTGGCGAAATAAAGTGCAGGAAAATTATTTTCAACTTACAAGCGCAAAAATGAGTTCCTCCTTCGTCCTGGAGAGGATTCAATCGAAGATCGAGTCTTTTTATGGGCGTGGAGTTTTCTTGTAGCAATCCGTAAACAATGCCCGCGAGACCGCTGGAGCCGATCATGTTGTTTGCCAATTTCAGAACTTTCAGACGTTTGTGGATGGTAAGAAATTCACCAATCGCGTGAGCCCCGGTATCACCGAGCTTGCAGTGCGAAAGGTCCAACTCCTCGATCTAAGATCAGATAGAGAGATATTTCGGGAAGTTCCCTTGAAACGCCGGAAATATTCCAAGGTCGTACAAAACGGGGAACAAGTTCAACGTGGTACTACTAAAAATATGTGCGCCTGTTACTAAAATAACGCTTTTAGACCACAAGTGTCATTTCGTCATTTAATTTAAAGTCTCGCGTACATCTTAAATTGCCCAACAGGAATCTACTTACCTGCAGAAATCAATCAAAGACCTCCTTTATTTCATTAACTCACGTTTTGTGAAAGCATATATACATGAAAAAAGACACATGAAATATAAAAATAAATAATTTGAATAACCTGCCATATTATAATTTACATATGCCGCAATATGTATTTTAATCTCATGCAAAGAAGGAATGACTACATAATATACATAAATATGTCCCTATGACGACTACTTTTTTTAATATTCTCATTTCACTTACTTGAAGAAACACGAAATATAACATATTTAGTTTTGACCTTCTTAAGATTAAATTTCACACGTTATATAGTTGTTCTTCATTTTCTATAATGCAACCATTTACAGAATGACTCGAGAACTTTCAGTGTTACTACATTTTTATTGTTGAATTTTAATCTTACTTGAGTTATTTACTATTTAATTTTAATATATCTCCCTTAACATTCAAAGGTAATCGTGTACCTATTTATACAATGATCAACCATGTGTAACGAATGACAACGACTTCCATTGTTCCGTTTACTTTAATCACAATTAATGTCAAGATTATTCTCGCAAGATTACCCACGCACGCAATTAGACGCATAATGTTTCCACTCTTATTCATTGGAAGCTCGAGCATTACCGTATTAAATTAGAATAACTAACAGCTGTATGAGATTTGCAAGTAAAAGTACAGATAAATCACTACTCTCTGTTCAGTGAGCGTCATACTGCAATATAAATGTTATTGCGCTACTATTCTTAACTTTAAACAACAGCTGTGATGGAAATAGCAACGGCACTATTCGTTCATCTCAGTGTCTACTGATATCTAAAAATATTGATAAAAGAGAACTTACTCTGTTATTCACGACAACGCCTTGAAGAAGAGCAGCAACTCGTGGTTGATCGAGATTGCTACGAGTTAAGCTGAATTTCTTCAGCAACGAACAATTTTTAATGCCACGGCCAAGACTCGTGCAGTCTTCCACTGAAAACCTATCGGAAAAATAATCACTGTATTATAATTGAAATATCTACACTATAATTATTGAAATCTAAATTTCTCATAGAATCTTCACGTTACACTCCTCGTCAAAAAAACTGCAACACCTAAAAATCGAAGTTATGCATTCTCTGATAACCACGTACATTATTTAGTATAATGTTACACTGCAACCATTCCTCAGAAATTATAAGATTTCTTAAACCAAAATTGGATGACTATCTCTTTACATTTTCGTAAACCTTAGTTACCGATTTGACGATTTTTATTTTTAGGCTTCGTGAATTTTATTACAATCAGCATCATTTCTCATAACCGAGAATTATTGTACTACTGTTGACTGTTACAAGTTACACTATAAGAGTAAATGATATATAATAGTGAAACAAATTCTATTACAGTTTTTTAATGTCAAAGGAAATATTAATTTTCACTCCTATGGTTTTGTTTTGCATTATCGATTCTCACTGAAAATCTCTCCATTCGAAACCGTCGTTCATGTAAATCATGCCGAAATTAATGCTCAGTTCTTGAAGAAATGGTAGTCTTGGTAAAATTAGACCCATTGGAATGTGGTCCACAGAGTACGTCTTATTGGTACATTGATCTTCGTCTTCTTCGCCAGACCACTTGAATGGGTATCTGAAATAAGCCCAAAAGAAATCCTTACAGCTTGTTTTATAACAGAACATAAACAGATGTTCTTATTCCGTAAATAATTCTTTTCTCAAATTAAACACTGCATTGTCGCTCTAATATTAATGATGAGTTAATTTTCTTCAAATATTCAAATATTATTGTTTCTCTACAATTCCACTCAAAGAACAAGTAGATTAAAAAGAAAACTTATTAACTCAAGAACGATAAGAAAATTGAAAGGGCCAAAAGTTTGTATACGCTATTACACGTATATATATGAAACTATTATATTAATATTAATATGCATACAAGGTGCAGAATGTACAATATTTACTAATCAAAAGAAGTGTAATAAAGTATAGTAGATACTCAGCAATGTGGAAAAAAAACTATTACTTTGTTTTAAAAGCCGAAAACTCATATGTCTACTTATTTTCCTACAAATTTAATTTATTCATTGGCATTTTTAATTTCCTCCACTTTATTCAAACAAAGGATCTCAAAGTAAATACGCATAATATTTCTAAGGTGTTCTAATACTTTTTTAAGATTCCTCTGTAAAATGATGTACCTCCGAAATTAATGATTTTATTACTGCAGTCACTGAGATTACATAGACCTGCATTATATTACCTACTGGAAATTAGATTTACTTCTAAGAAAGGTGCCGTTCAGTGAATCGACCGAAAGAAATTGAAGAAATGAGGCGTGAAAGTATCAATAAAGTCGTCTCACTTGGTTGGAACCAGCGAACGGATCCTTAAAGTGCAAACGTAATCTCGAACTAGGGCAATTAATTTTTCGAAATTTTCTTGTTGTGCTTTAAAATAGTTCGGGTCCAATGCTTCCAAGTACTCCTCTAAATAACGCTCACAATACAATCGTCGCCAAGAATCACCGTGATCATTTGGATTATTATGTTTCCACCTGAAAGTAGAAAACGCATTATTTTAATTATTTTCATTATTTAATGTTATTAACGTGAAATGAAGTTAATTTATGACATTTCATTTCAAATGATGCTACTTTATATTCATTCAATTAAATTAAATAATTCTTCTCTTCCTGAAGAATTATTTCTTATCAATTTATTTTATGGCAAGATTTCAATTTAATTTAGAAAATATTCACTTACTACAGAACAGCAATAATAAGATGGCATTAAATAATTGAAAATAGAATTACAAATTTAGTCAGAATGAACTCGAAAATTCCACGTAAATCTTTTGTATAATTCCATTTCATTTTTGTTATATACTATTGAAATTAATCATGTCGAATAAACTGTTTTTATCGAACGGTGAACTCTTTTTAGAGAATACTGTTGTGCTAAAGTATAAATAATAAGAAATAAATATAATTTTAAAACCTCATCAACACCTGTACTAGAAAAAAAATGACTTCCACTACATGATTTCTTTCTCAACAATAACTTTTATAAAAAGCGTTCTTCGTCTACCCGAAAACGAGACGATACTCCAAATGAACAAAGTTATTCCTGCACTCTCTAATGCCATGCCTGGGTGTACACAGTTGTGCATGAACGCTATAATATTCGAACAGCCTGCGGCAAGGCTTGTAATAGATGAACGGAACACAAAGCACGACTACTTCGAAGTTCTCGATTCTCTGCAAATGAAAATTATTTCTTGACTTGCCTCAACCCAATGCGAACCAAGACGTTCAACTAACAGGAGAGGATGAACACGCTCAATAAACGTACCCAAACGCTCAACCTATTAATATTTTATATTCACAATTAATACTAATATTCGCTTTAACTTTCTCAATGCTTAATTATTACATTTTGTGAAATTAACCTATTCTATCTGCTATTTGATTCAACAATTCTCCAGTAATACTGACTTGACCCAACGGCAAGTCGATTTACAAGTTACAATAGTCAGCGATTGTTATTAAAATTAAATCCTGGATATATAAATCGATTCCTATAAAGTAAGTGCCACTTTTCTAATAATTTAAAAATTCATTGAGATACGTTACTAATTTTGGAACTCTTCACTGTGTTCAATATTTGCAATTAATATTAATGCTCAATTTAACATTACCAATGCTTAATCCTCGAAAAACATCAACTGTTTCTAACATATTGTACAAAACAATCCTTTTCTTTAACCTTTTATAAAACCATATGACTTTGTAGTCACATCCATATATCAGTAATATCAGCATCTTATCACAGCGCCTTATGATTCTATCACTCTTTTATAACCAAGGAATTTATTTATAAATTGTAAGGTCTTGAGGTTTCCTCGGTTGTTCTTTACGTACGAATTGGCGTCCGGGTTGGAATCGTGTATGAATTTTTTGTCTTGCCAACGTTTTGCCAGCATTGCAAAAAACATCAGGGTTAAAAAGCACTAATTTAATCATTCAATTCCCAAAGTCAATATAAGCTAATCTATACATACAATTTATCAATTTATGTACAAATAGTTAATATCAGGAGATTGTTATTTGCCAATTTTACGTTATATTAGCTTTTCATGGCTGGAGAAACACACTGAGTGACAGAGATTTGATAATTCAACGGTCATTATGCATTTGGCGCGAAACTCTACCTCGTTAATACGTATTTCTCAGCCCTCACTTGCGATGTAACAAGCTTTACAGTTATCAAATCTTAAGCATTATTATTTACTCTTATCTTGAAAGCTATCGAATCATTGATTTAGGGTTGCTGTACATTAATATTCAGTGCGACTATATCTATGTCGGTTAAAATCGATATAACCCCCATGATACTCGACGATCTTCATCATACTTATCTTATCCGGGATCGAATAAGGGTATAAACTTTTGGCAAATTTACGAGAGCCCTTCACGGTGCTTCGGCAAAGCTCTGGAGCAGTCGATTAAGTTTAAGAAGCGTCCGCCATCCTTGTGACCTGATTTAACTTTAAGGAAATGCTAAAGATCCACAGGAAGAGTGGTGTCGCCATTCACGTGAACAATGTAATGGCCAAGGTAGCTTTAACAATAAATTTTTCACCCAGAAAACATTCTCGCCAAGTTTTGTCAATTTATGCATCCTTTTCGAACGTTTCCGCGATTTCCGTGATTGCATTGATAACCGCCGAGAATACGTAGAACGTGTAAAGAAGATGATAAAATTCCCCGAGTTTCTTTACTTTTCTATAATCATGAATTCATTTACGCCGCCTAAATATGCAATACCCTAAAACTATTGCAAATTTCAAATATGCGCAAACTAGATTTCTTACGTTCCAGAGAAATTATCATGAAATACTGTTATTTATAATCATTTGTCCATTATAAAAATATGTTGTTATGTATAAGTGAGATATTTTTATTATAGATAATCGATGAGAGAGAAAAGAGATGTATGTGGTAATAATTGAGATAAATCACCCTCACTTGTCTTTGGCAGCTCGTTGCCAGTAATATTCATGGGAAATTCTTCGAATCATCATTTCGAAAGGCAGATTCGTTGGTAACATCTCCAATAACATTTCTTGGTCCACACATGTCGGCAGTTCTTCGAAGATTGGATTTTCTTGCCACTGATCGACGATTGCTTTTAGCGCGAGCACTTTTAAGTCGGGAATGATTTTAACAGCCCACTCTTCGTTTTCGGATCGCAAAGTTCTGCCATACTCAGAAGGCAGGGAAATCGTTGCAACGGAACATCTGAATAATTAAATTAAACAATTACTTCCCCCAGATAAATGTGCGATTACCCTCAAATATTTTTAAATAATCCTTCAATTTCTATTATCACAACGTAATATTTCAACAGCAATGTTGAGAATTACTCAAGATTTTTTCCCAATATACCACGTATAGATAGTGTCATATGATGAATCAATATTAAAACAATTTTTATCTAAACGGTATTACTCATTATCACAATAAAAATCACTTACCTGTATGCTTCAAAGGCATTTTTCGAAATCGAACACGGAATCACCATGACTGTTTATGAATATGGGAACCTATATATAAAAAATTAATAAAATTAGCAAAAAGTATGTATAAAGTTAATAAATGATATAGTATATAAAATTGGAATCAACTTGTCGAGACACCATCGGACCAATACAAATAATTCGAAATGATGTTAAATCAACATAATGAAATTCATTGTGTATTGAAGTCTTGGATTACTGAATTTATTATTGATTATTTTATAGTGCATTCTGTTGTATGTTTATAAAATACTTGACGCGTACTTTACTAATAATTTATAATTGGCCCGGATTATAAAGACGCATTTTCATTTGTTTTTAGGAGTGTCCCGAAGGCGTAGTCCACGAAGACTCTTTCAAAGACATTTATGCGAAATTCTTCCCACATGGCAGTGAGTTCTGATTCAATAGAGAAGAAAATGAAGCTGTCACGCGTAATTCGTTAATGGTGCCTTGCTGTGCGAATTTCAGACTCCAGCCTCTATGCCCACTACGTGTTCAAGGCCTTCGACGTAAACTGCAACGGGGCCATCAGTTTCAGGGTAATTAATTGCATTTTAAGCTATTACCGCATGCATAAGTACCAGTTTTCGTAAGCAGGTTATCAGAAATGCTTCCTAATAGAGGTTACCGAAATTATTAACTGGGTTGCCTTTTGTACATAAAACACCCCTAATGGCCCATGATTCCCATCACTTTTGCTTCAACTTCTCGAATACGCACAGGTTGACTGCATGTCATTTTACAATATACGATCTTATATCTATATCTTGTATACATCCTCTTACAGTGAACGATTGAGATTAACAAAGGTAGACTACAACAAAATGAAACGAGTTGTTGAAGATCAATGACCAAGAATGGGTTAATTTCTTAAACTATTGATTTTATTTTGAATTTATTTCAATCGTCAGAGACATGTCCCAGGTATTCGAAAGAGAAAGAAACAACAATTTGTGCTTAAATATAGATACTCAAAGCTAAGTAACGTTTGAATACTAAAATTAAGTTAATAGATACGAAAGAATGATAATCTTTCTATGAATTCTGCATATTCTGTTGAACACTTTTATCTAAAACCAATGAAAAAGAAAAATCAAAATACCTCCGTTATTTTGAATATTACGAATATGAAACAAATGTTTAACAATTTCAACCGGGCTATATATTACACAACACCGATCTTTTTTATTTCGACGTTCTTTAATTATCATTTTTTAAACACTTTGCATATGTTATAGGATTAAATGTTTGAACGATGTTATACACGTGAGAAAAAATCGAAATATCTCTTTAATATTTTACGCGATGAAAGAGTAAAAAATGAAATTTGATACTTAAATCGTTTCCTTCATAAATTCTCATAATCATGCAAACTTATTTATACACTTACTTAAATCCTTTCAATATCATTTCTACTCGTAATTTTATCCTCCAAATGATTGAAAATAGTACATTTCATTGTAGTAAATATAACAATACAACATTGTAGACATTGTTCTTTGGATAGGATGTGAGAATCCCTGGGATCCGTTAGAATCATCGAATATCCTCGACGGTTATTGAGCTAATTGACGATGATTCCAGGATCTGCTGGTGACCTTATCGACCCTCCTGAGGGGTAGCATTTACGAGAAGCTGAGATGGACGTTCAAACTATACGACATTAATGGCGACGGGTGCATTACGAGAGGAGAACTGGGTGAAGTGGTCACTGCCGTGCACGAATTGATGGGTCGAAAACACCATGCCGATGAAGAGAGGAAAGCAAGGGATCAATTGGACAGGGTCTTCCGGAAGCTCGATCTCAATCAAGATGGGGTTATCACGATCGAAGAGTTCATCGAAAGTTGCCTCAAGGCACGTTCCAAACGATTCCGTGAACAACTTCATCATCGCGAAAGAAAATAGTATCTTTATATTTAACTGACATACCCAAACACGTCTCGGCCAGTACTATGTTTGTCCGTATATGTACAAAGGATATTTATGATCCTCAATAGCTTTCCTACATATTAAAGTAGTTTTATAATGTATAGAAATCCAAGGACTAATATCTTCTTATATGGGAATGAAACCATTAGAGCGAAATGTAAAACTATGAAGCAAATCAACTGCTGATGGGTTAAAATTTCGCCACAATCTGTATGCAATTCCCCCTGATCGATTAACCGCTTCTAACAGCATCCGAATTTGATTTCAGGACGACGTGATTACCCGATCGCTAGCAATGTTCGATTGCGCACTCTGATCTCCGGCCAGGGAGAATCCCTCGCAAACACGTACAACAGTGAGCCCGACACCGGAAGTGACACCAGAAGCAACACCAGAAACAACACCCACGACAGCATCGTTGACCTCCAGTCTCTCGCAATCCTTGTCACCATCGCCTCCACCGCCATGTTACTCTCTGTTGCCACCGGTACCGCTACCACCCCCAGGATATACAACCCAAGATCATCAGCTGTATCGAATGCTAGCAGCTCACTGGTGGGATCAACCAGACACGCCACTATTTTGCTGAGCCTTCTCGTTTTGAAATGTCCCCAAGAAATGTTCGTATCGAGTACGTGACCATAGGACCAGGAGCGATGTTCAACTTCGCACTCCACTCTTTGGCCAAGAACAACGATATACGTGTTGCGACGAACCCAACACTGGAAGTAACATTAGAAACAACAACCACGTCATGACCTTCGATCTCACGATCCTATTCACCATCGCCTCCACCGTCATGCTACTTTGTATTACCATCAGTGCCACTACCAGGATGTATGATTCGAGATCATCCCATATACCGTGTTGTGGCAGTTCACTGGTGGGATCAGCCAGACACGCCACTATTTTGTTGAAGAGAACCCATCTGAAATTTCCCCAAGAAATGTTACCATGGACGTGATCATGAGGTCAGTAGCGATGTTCAGCTTCGCATTTCGATCTCTGATCGAGAACAACGGTATATTTGCACGTGTAACGGCAAATCCGACACTGGAAGTGACAAAGGAAGCAACATCCGCGACATTGCGATCTCTAGTCTCTCGTAATCCTAGTTATGGATAATTCTATTGCCATGCTACTTGCCACTGGCAGGATATACGATTCAAAATCATCAGCTGTTCCGTGCATTAGCAGTTCCCTGGTGAAATTAGCTAGATACATCGTTACCTTGCTAAGCAGATCTCTCCTTGTTAAGAAATTCCCCCAAAGAACACTTACTAGACAACGTGCAATAGCCAACTAGACATTAGAAGAAATCCCAGGGGGCCAACCACTACATTACAGACCTCCAGCCTCTCGTAATCTTTGTCACTTACTCCGTATTGCCTCCGTTTATTATCACTAACTGCACTCTACCTCCAGTATATATTACTCAGAGTAATCGATTCTACGATTCCCTGACACCTCATTGATAAAATCGATGAAATGCCCCAGTTTTATACCGAGTAAAGCTTCATTCACGTATTTCATAAGAAAGTGTCCTAGAAAGAGACCTATTTTTCTGGCATGTCGGAAGGACTCGGGTAGATTCAAAAAAGATCATCATTTTATGGAGAACGAAACTTGGTTTAAGCTGTTAAGCACATACAAGTGTAACTGCCAAGTCATCAAGGACATATCTCATTGAATGGAGGAACGTCACTCGAAAATTGCACCAAAAAATTCCTGGAGAAATATTACGATTTCACAGTCATTGATGTTGCCAGGAGTCTCTAACAATAAGATCATGCCCTAGTACGTGAATTTAAAATACAGTTAATAGAAGGAACAGAACGTTGTCAGGTAAAATTTCCTCGTTGAAGACATTTACCGTAAATCATCTCGTGGAAATATGAAAATTCATTAGGATTGTTCTTTTACAGTCGGTAAACAAATTAGTTTTCGATCTGTACAAATGTTGTATAGCAAACTGTTCTTCAAAGTGCTTTGCGAGTAATTACACAGAAATCAAATCACGTTAGGATGAAAGAAATAATCACATTTTCACCAGTATTGGTAAATCGTTTAACTTTCAATGTCCTCATCAAGGCAACGCCGCAAACAGCATTAACAAACGAAGCCTTGAATGCCTTTTCCACTATTTCCTTCATTTTTAACCGATTCCTTCATTCTCGCGTACACTTTTCAATTTTTCATATTCAACATTTTTTGTTTTATGTCCTTTCATTTCACTTCAAGCGCACGTATATTTTCAAGCATACGTTAATTTTTCAAGACGCACAAATCAATGCAGGATTTTCGAATCGAGTGCACCTTTTGGCCCTAAATAAACAATGCAAGCAATCCAGTAGTGCATGAATTATCGACTACTAATAAGCAGTCAACAACAAGTAATTGATAACCGAGAAAATACAACTCAATCTTTCAAAGCAAAATAAGAGAAGCTCACCGAAAAAGCAAAAGTATGGAAAAATTGCAAACTTTGTTTGCAAGAAATATTTCGTTACTTTAGTTTGAGGAAACAGAAATTGCATAATTTTCAAAGGTGTCTCTGAGATGGAAACTCCAATCAATTTATTTCAATATAATTATCTCAATCGAGCATTACTCATGAACATCATGTTCTTGTGCAACTGGTGCATAAACATTAAAAATCGATAATGAATGGGCACGTAGACGCGCCAATAGCGGATAAATGGGTTGTTAGTGCGCTATTGAAACATATACTTTGGGAAATCGGTATCAGAAAAGTAGAAATACATTGAAAAGATCACGGAAACTTCTGAACAATTAAATATTGAAAAGAATAAACAGCATGGAGGGAACAGAAAAAAAATATATATACGTAAATAGTAAAATACTTTATTCTCTCGAACAGCTTTCTATGCTGTACTAGAGATAATATCAGAAAAGATATCACCTCAGAAATATATGCTTCGATTTGTACAAGAACGTAAATATTTCTTTCATTTTCATCTCATTTCATTTTTACAGACTTCTTTGAAACTCGTCAATGCGATGTTGGGCATAGCTAGAATGCGATTATTAGAATAACCAATTCACGCATACGGCTATGATCGATTAATTATTATTTATGATGATCAGACATTAATCGAAAACCAAAGGATCTAACATCAGCGAAATGCAAAGACTTCACACATCAAAAGAATTTCTAAAGTGACAAACAAAAGAACGATAAACTTTAAAGCAAAAAGATTAAAAATGTCGAAGCGATAAAATTCAATAAATGGGATAATCCGACACATCACCTTGATACAAAAAACTAGAGACATCATTCACCGATTTCCGAGGAAACACGGTTACTACCTCCATTTTTATTTTATGCTCTTTCTGCGTAGCTCTACACTTGGTACTCACCGACAATAGATTTTCACGGGCCGCGAGTGGAGCCATTCAACATCGATTGTCAATACGCGGACATTGAATGGTAAATCAATTCATTGGCCGCAGACAAGCTGCTACATTCAAGCTGAAAATATGGCCCAGGTCAAGCACAAAGACTCAAAGAACTTTAAAGGAAATTAAAATGCGATGGAATAGACGAAAAACCATTGATAAAAAAATAAAACTGTTGATGCAACCGAATCATTGCTTGTACGGAAACAATTCACTGCGCCGATATAATAAGTACCCGAGAACCGGTGCCCCCACTCTGTCAAATAGGGTTAAACAGGATAAAAGTAAGACTACATCCCCGATTTTTATTTAACTAAATTCCCTTTCCATGCTTATCTAAACATGAATTTCTATCAATTCGTCAAGTGACACTTTCCAACGAGTGGTTTCGCAGTTTCCAGTGCGACCATCGGCCATCGATTGCGAACCAACGGATGGTCGCTTCAACGATGGCTCAATTATTGGTCGCCGAAGAGCCACTAATTGACGCGGATTGAAAATCCAACCAATGTCAATGGGAAAAAAAAAAAATGATGGACGAGGGGGAGGAAGGAGCGAAACCGACAAAAAAGGGAAATAAAGGGGTAGAAAAATGGTTGAACGAGGCGACGAGAGAAGAGAAATGAGATCACTCGGGTTCGAGTTGGAAGAAACGACGGACTTGAGTAATCACGTGCCAAATCATTGTACAAGTCGAGGTCGATGCCTGTCGAAACGACAAGATCGGACGAAATCCGGTTAAAATAGAACCATTGAGCCACACTTAAATACGACTCGAAAGCCAAGGTCGTCCCATGGATCCATGAAAAAAAGAATGGTGGAAATCGTTCCGGGGGTGAAGCTCAAGATGTAAAGAGAAAAGAAGATGGCGGTCATCTTGCCCTGTTAGCGATGACGTGTTATAAAGAGAAATAATAAAAATTTGAACTACATACATAGTAACTGTTCCTATCATTTGCAATTATAATGTCCTTAAAAACAGTATACAACACAATTTCACGATCTTTATACATTTTAGCCCGCGCTTTATCATACGTCAAAAAAGACGCCGTACGTCCTTTGGCTTCTGTTCGCGACACAAGATCGTGTAGGTGGAGTTAGCTGGTAAAATGGCTTACGTCTCGAGCTTCGGTCTTCTCGTCTAAAATCGCACTTTATGTTTTACCGATCTCTTCATAGATCCATGGATCGTCTTAACCGGAAGAGCCCTCGGAAGCCAGGGCCGTCGTAACCGGGAGAGCCCGCTCGACCAATGGCGGTTCTTCGACTTCCTGCGTCGCGGTCGGCTAAGTCGTTACGGATAATAAGGCGGTTATAGTCATAAGGACGTCGGAATATCGTTAAGTAACTAGCGAGATATTGATAGGACTAGCGCTAAGCGATTACCGAAAATCTTCCAAAAGCAGGGTGCCCAGTGCTGGTCGGAAGCACTGCCGCCGGTAGAATAAGGCAGCCATTTATCGAGGAAATTGTTAAGTTTATAGGATTAGTAGACAATGGCGGTGGTAAGAATGTTGTTATTTGAGAATAAGCTTTAACTTCATTAGCTCGTATATCTTACGATAAAGCAATAAAATTAAGTACGAGCGATCGGCGTAAGTCATTGATTCGCAATGAATCAATCGTTCGTTCCTTCTCTTGCGACCGCTAATTTTATACATTTAATGTTGCTTTCGGGGCGAAAGCGTAAGAAATGGGTGGGATTGCGCGAGAAGTAAAACGGGAAAAAGGAAGGATGAGAAGGTTAAGGATGAAAGCTCCTGGGAATTTAAGCCATGCCGTTAAGACTTAGTCTAGGTAATTTAGGATCTGTTTCCTTGAACTGGGAACGCGAAACCTGAAAAGAGTTGAATGCTCCCCGTTGAATGAATAGCGTAAATACTGTTAAAGCTATCGTGAAAGAATCGAAAAGTCATAGGAAAGGCTTTCACTACAATTTCCGAGCACCTTTTATAAACGTTTCCTTCGTTCCTTCGCGCCATAAATATTGACTAACCATTTATTTTACCTGCATACTCTAATAATTAATTAATATACATGAAATCCTTAACTTTTTTCGTCTACTAAAGTCCCTGCGTGTCAGCATCGGATTATCGTAATCTTTACGTTTCCGTTTCATGCTAGAAAAATTAAAAAAAAAAGGTGTATAGGGGGAAAGATGTATAGATATACTTTATAGCACATATCTCAACAGGTTTTCGCAACTTTTCTCAGGTTGTTGCATTCTCACTCTCTTGTACAGACGGATGAATAATCGGGTAGATGATCGATTTTTTAAGACTCTAGCGATTAGCGTAAACATTAGATTAATAAGCGCGCAATCGGATCACTGAATTAAGGGGGCGGATGAATTTATCAGTTGATGACAATGAAACACCAATGCGATATAATTTACGTGTAATCTAAGACAGTATGCATACGATACTTCCTGTACTAAATGGTACCTAGGAACTGAGTGAAAAGCAACATTTTCTACGATTCTCCTAATCGTTGCATATTTCATGCGACTAAGGTAAATACTAATTGGCAGGAAAAAGGATGTAATAACGATATCGTATTTATTGTTTCCATGGTATAATGTCGACTTACAGAGGTGATCGTACTGGCATGTGATGTGTGAACTGGGCCCTTTCAAACTGACCGGAAAACAAATAAATGTCCTCCATAAAGAAATGAAAACAAGCTGTTACATGGTATGTTAGTATCATATGTTCCTCCTAATAATTTATTTCTCGTTAAAATTACATAAAAAGTACGCGTGTACGTATATCGATTTCGGCACATTAAACGAATCAATGTATGCCAATACTCTGAATAAGCGCAACCACGGTTCCTTAGGGAGGAACGTGTAATGCTAATGTACTGGTACATTGAATGGTACTGCAGGAAGCATTTTGTTTATACTAATTGAGCCGTTTATGTTTTATTTAATATGTTAGTTAAAGGAATTCAAAAGTTCATTTACGAAATTGACTATTGAAAATCGAGCGACTGACCGTACCGAGATTCATTATAAATTGCTTTAATTAAATCATTCTAATATGCATGTAACAATCCCTCCACTTGTTAATTTTGTAGAATTAACCGGCAAGTTTTTGCATCGATAGCTATCAGCCACACTAATTTATTACTTTGACAATCCCAATCAATATAGGTTAATTAATTGAAAATTGGAAATGCGCGTATAAAAATCATGAAAGTGCGGCTTCATTATATAAATTTTCTGATCGTTTACGTGAACAATTTTCAAATTGTTATATAGTCACATGTGTTATGTCACTGAAGGTAGATTACTTTGACTTTTTCTTTAATTAGAGGAGAACAATTGAAACAATCTGCCATACATAGACAGTTTTAACAGCAAATCAATAATCCGTGAGAACATTTATCTGCCTATTTCATTGACTTTATTTAAGCTCTAATGCAAATCACATAATCATCACTGAATACATAAATAACCTATCTAGTTATGATGATCTATTTACGAAATAGAGAATTTTGAAAACACTTTTCATCCTTAAGTTTGGAATAATAAATACCTTTAAAATATTCCTCTTTCAACCAAGATGTTTAAAATTTCACTGAAAAACACATTACTGAAACGATTCCTAGTTAAAGCACTATCACGCTATAATATATTCCATATTCTTTTGATTTTTCTCTTCTGCTACTTTGTCGAAAAAACCCTTTAAACAATGTAAGTTGGAAATAATAAACACTAACATTTCTCGCCTTTGTCGTGCCGAAATAACGGAAATAAAATACTTATATAAGCATTTAACACGCGAATAAGTATCACGCAAATAACAAATAAATATTATAATTGTAACAATACTCACCGAGTAATTCACGTTTCACGGTATGGACATCGATAGTATCGATTCGTTCGATGCAATTTCTCACCAATGAATCCCGAAAATAACATAATGTATTTGATAATATCAGTTATTTCATATAAGCTGGATATGCATAAACAACCAGGAAGCTAAAGTTCGCAATTTCATAAAATTCATGACAACATAACCGTCGTGAATACAAATGTCTTCAGTGAGATCAACACAAATTACGTTGCTAGGACGCCGAATACTCGTTTCCATAACGACCGATTCAATAGTTAATAGCTTTGCAGCTAAGAATGCATTTCAAACTCATATTTAATGCATAAACGTATACTCTATGGATCCCGCACATTAATCTATCTTTGAAGACATCAATACTGACAGAGAGAAGAAGAAAAACTGAAACTGGTTGACGGTTTATACATCTGTCTGTGTTTTACGAATAATATTTATTAAAACAACCTGCAACTCTCACTTAGCTTCGCCTAAATATAACCAAAACTTTATCTTAATATTTGGTAAACCGTGAAAAAATATTAAGCATAGCATCCATCGACTTCTTACCTCAATCTGCCTACAACGTCAATTCTTAACATTCTGTAAATGAAATTGAACCGTTCATTTTCATTTCTTTTTTTACACGCATGTTTCACTTTTCACAGAGCGGAAGGAAGGCTACATTGCACACTTATATGATATGCACCAGTTTCCAGTAAGATGACAAATTGTTTAAGACTGAATTAACATCTTGTAGATCATTATATTCATTAATAGTCCACTCGCACTGAACCCGAGACGATCAGTCATTCGAAGTTATTAAGAAATTTAATTTTATTAGAATTTCTGAAATACTTGTATACATGTCCCAAATAAACACATGATCTCAAGTGTATAATGTTTATGTAACAGATATACACATTGTCAAGTATGTTAACAAATTTAAAGAAAAATAAGAGTAATATAACAAGTAACGCGCGGACACGTAACATCTATGTGAAATGTTGGTCGTAATACATAACAGTGAGCTTATAACAAGAAATGTATATAAGATTGAAATGCGTACGCCCGAAGATTGTGCTATGAAAGAAATTCCTAAAACCTTACTAAAATTATGTATTCAAAATCGGAACACCTAAAAATAAAAATTCTGCAAATTGATGACCAGCATATACCGCTTAAGATAACGTAAAAATATAATGACTCAACTTTGATTTAAACAATACTTGTAATTACCGAGATATGATCACAGTCTCAATTCATTATACTAAACGATATATATGGTTATCAAATATGCACAACTTTGATTTTTGGATGTTACAATTTTCTTGACAGGCAGTATAATTTAAACAATACTACTGCACTTAAACTCCTCAAAACACGACACGACAGTGAAATGTGTTCATAATGAACACAAATATTAATTTTGACCTGAATGGAAAGAGATCTTTAATATAAACAGAAGTTTGCCTTTAACAATCAAATTGCAACGCACTTTGCAATCACCGCTATTCAGATTTTGTTTTACATTTATATACGTGAACTAATTACAAACTTTTCCTGCCTTGTCTATAAAAGCTGCACGAAAAAGCTGAAAGTTTAATTATTATTCTGGACAGGAAGAAGGGAATTGTCTCTGGCGAAACTCTGGAACAGAGTGGTTGTTAATTCCGGACTCTTATCAAAGTTGGCTCTTTTAAAGTTGGCTCGGCTTTACAGACTGGGCAGAAATTGATATGCAGCACACACAAATGCATTCTTACAATCAAATTATCGGTATCACTTTTATTGTATATCAATACCAGCATAAATAGTTTAACGAAAGAAGTTTACTTAGTTAATTTATGACTGTATCTCTTGTTACCTACAGTATACAACCAGGTTAATGGCATTCGAAATTGTTTGGCAAACAATTTATTAACAATTTCTTGGCTCTTGAATAGCACACAGTGAGCTCACAAGTAAATCGAATGTAATAATCACGTCTTCGAAAATTACAGATATTAAATTACTCTTATTTTAAATGATATATTTTTAACATAACTGATACATAAATGTTGTATAAGATCTTACGTTTTCTGGGCATCTACAAATACATGAATCGACCACAGCAACGATATCAAACTTTTTATTTGCAATAAAAAGTTTACAACAAAATTAATGATAAGAGACATACTTACGTATCTCTCACAAATCATTCTGAAAGGACGAATGAAAGAAATAAAGAAAAGAAAATCCGCTTATAAGAAAATAATATTAATAATGTTGTCTAAGAGTGAACGTACAGTATTTTTCTTTTTTTTTCTTCAAGATCGGAAAAAAACGTGTAATCTCTATCACGTCAATCAACGACACTTGTGCGCGATTAGGTCCATCCTTGAAAGCGAACCTCGAAATACGACTATAGCCGTTTAAGGAAAATAAAAGTAGGGATTAGAGTGTAAGCGAGAGATCATTTGAGAAGTGCGTGACATTACATATGTTCAATAGATTTCGATTTTTCTTTTCGGGAAGCCCGACATAGGCAACCGAAAAATTTCCTAACAATAGCGATAGCCGATGAAACTTTACAGTGTAAGAAGAATTCCACTAAATCATAACTAGCATAATGAAGGGAAAATGCTCTAGATAATTAACTATTTATAAGGGATAAGTCAAACCTTAGTCAATTCATTAATATTAGGAATTAATTAAACGTAATAACTCCTATTTCACCCATTTGAGCAGGGGGACGGCGAAGTATGATCCCAGTTAGAATATCTTTCCAAAGTTTATTTATTCTCATAACGAAATTGGTTTCCTTTCACATGGAAAGGTTCAAGTAAACAAAATACTCATTTCATCTTTGATTAAAATGATATTTTTAAGCCTAGATTTCGGAGATGTTCCCGTACCAGTGAGTTAAAAAAGAATTTTTAACCCCCGCCCCCCAGTTCGATTTGGAGATCACTTGAATCCGCTGCTCATCCGAACAAATTAATAAAATAGCAAAATCAGGATTGCCGATGTGCTAATTATTCTGAAAGAATCATATTTTATTAAATGGGGAAAGAAATGAACGTATTTACCCTTTAATTGTGTCATTGTAGTAATGTAGCCTTATATCGATGCGTCATAATTCATTCAGTTTCTATTGGCACCTTTTTGCATTTTCATGCCGCATTAATCGTTAAATTTCAAAATGATCAGACGTAACGTTAAGCTTGTTAACTATCATTTGGTAACATTTAACTCATAAGTGATGTATTTTTGTCAATTCTACGATGGCTGTTTACATACGTTTATCTTTTATACCTTAAAGTGTCTTTTTCAGTTAGATATAGAATTTCTTTTACATGAAATATAACAGAAATAATAACGTATTAACTCATTATTAGTAACTGTGTTAATGACTACTCGATTATGAAATTTAAACGATAATGAGAAAAAGAAGTCGTAAGGCAGGACTACTATGAATGTACCTCAAGCCCTATTGTTTCAAGCGGAGTGCGCTATTGTTATCGAATACTGCCAACTTCGTGTAAATATCATCATGTATCATAGTTATTAACGCGACGTTTTTGAGAAATTGGAAAAAAATGGCACCATCCACCACCAATTGTATCATCATGTATCATAGTTATTAACGCGACGTTTTTGAGAGATCGAAAAAAAATTGCACGTAGTCTAATAATAAGTTAACTAGGAGTAATTGAATGCCGTCATTTCTTTCTGACTTATGTTTCAACATTGTTACTGCAAACGGCAAAGTTTCGCTCGGTTGCAAGCAACTTTTAAGTGATGTTTGGATCAATGACAATTCTAGACAACCGAGGACTGGATGCTAAGCAATTTCTTTTATCCGACAAAGCTTAAAACCATGATCCGTGAATGTAAAAAGAGAATCTATCAAATGTCTTACTTGCAAACAACTTTATCCCGCCACAACATTCGTATTTCTATACAACATAACGCTATCTGATCATCATAACTGTTTAAATAATACAAAAGTGACGGATTCAAGACGCTCGATTTTATTGTCAGGTCATTCCAAAAGTTCTGTCGTGTTCTGGCGACTGTTTTTCCCGTTTTACTGACTTTACTGATTGACATTACATTGCTGCCTGACTTTCAATGCTCTACTTGTGATGTTTCTTCAAAGTACACCTATAAAATCGACAGAACTTTTGAAATTACCTATTAATTGCACCATCTGAAGGTAGTTGAGATTAGAATACTGTCCTACTGATGTCTAAAATGAAACTACTAAGTATGCCTACAAACATTATGAGCTTATAGGATATTCGGAGCCCGGCGAATATCTGTAAGTTGATATAATTTCGTAAATTTGAGCACAAGAAATTATAAAATTTTAATTTTGGAATAATAGCAATTAGAGGTCATGCAACAAAGTTACGATATCGAAGGTCCCTTTCAATCTAATGTACTGTTTGAGATGTTTCTGTAGTAGTCCTCCCACATCCTATGATATTAATATCCGAACATCTTTCGTTGTACTTTACCGCGAACTTGTAAATTTATTCCAGGTACGTCAAGTCGTTGTGTATAGAAAATAAAAAGGAATCATGAATTTGTTTCACTCGTTACACGTGATTGAATTAAACGACTGTCGATCGATATGACTTTACAGAAATACTGTTAAGAGAGACTGTGGTTAAAAAAAAGAGAATCTATAAAAATTCGTTTCGTAGCCCGTAGGTCCAAGAAATATTTAGGAATAAATTATAGAGAAAAGTTCTTGAAAGCAGAATAGTTTGCGTAATTAGGAACCTTTAAATTCTAATTTATACGTAAAGGTTCATTGATTTTCTCCATCACACTTAAATCATACTGTTACTTAAATTATATTATTAAGAGTTTTTAAATTCGCTGTCACATTTCGCCTAGATATTCGATTACTTTGATAGACGAGCTAGTAATTAAATACGCACCAAGTCGCACGAAGCAAAATCTTTTTTTTTACATAAGATCGATCGTAATCGCTCCAATTGTGGCGTAGTGTTATAAAAATTTCCTACAACTTTCGAATAGCCAAAAAACATTATTTGACAGTTTTAACGTAATAAGAGTGTTAATACAATCATTGAACATCCATTAACGCACTTAGCTAGTGCTATGACATTTGCATACTTGACGCCTACATTATTGAGTCTTTTCTATACACATCAGCATTAAATGCGTGCAATTTCCTTTCAGGCATTTCTTCCTCAAGCTTTATATTTACTAAATACTGCATTTTCTCAATCGTCATTCGTATTTATCACCTTTCGGTATCACATTCTTTATCTAATTTGCTTGCGCTACTACCAAGGTATAATACTATTGAAATGTTATTCAAATGTGTCAGGCGAAATGATTCGTTAATTAAATTTCTAGCTTTCGAGTGAACGCTGGGGAAGATCAATCGATTTAATGATATGCAATCGTAAAGAAGTACGTAAGATATATAGCTTATTTCTTGGAGCCCAGTTAAATTTATCTTCGTATTTCACGTACCTATTACCATAGAGTTCATGTATAATTATGTTTCTGTACAATTCAGATTCGGTTATGGCAAACCCTTATGGCCATGCTAAGTTCGACCTTTCGTTAAAGTTTATTGATATAGTGCAGTAGTTAACAGAATCCGTGTTATTAATGAGGTTTGTGATGCGATTTCGTATAACTAAGACGATAATGAATCGCAGTAGATCAAATAATACTGTATTGTTGGCAGTTTCCCACAAAGGTGTGGCAATATCAATAAATGTTAATTACCTCAAGTCACTTTTTATATTTATATGCCATTTTTCCTCATGTCAGTTATCCTCCTTACTGTTATTCAAGGGATGATAAGAAGCTTTCCTCGTTCCTTAGTATTTTTCACAAGAAATACGTTAAAACAATCCCCGTAACGTGCAGACCTAAGTAAACATTTAAAATTAGATTGTAATCTACGCAGAACGGTAATCAACAATTTCCCTATACGTCAATTAAATATTGACGGTCCTCTTGCAATTTTTACGACTGCAATTACATTCATGAAATACTTAATAAAGGGAATTATTTGAAGTGGTTTTCGGCGGCAGGGATGGTTCGGCCACTAGTACACTTACCTTATGTATTTCTTATTGAATAAAATTAAAATAGGAATTAAGGAGAATTCAACGAAGCACGATACATATGATTATAATTATATTTTACGTGATTGACAGTAGCTGATCGAAACAGTCAATCGGTTAATAATTCTGTTCTGTGTGACTAATTAAAATAAATCACGCAATACTTAGTAAAAATAAAAATGTTTATTTGTACCTATGAAAACTCATTTTTAGAAACTGTTAAAAGACAACAAAGACAATGGATGACTGATCATGGAAAAATATACAGAAGCATGGTCCTAAGTGCCAAAATCTATACTTTTAAAATCTTTAATATACTCTATTTTCAGTGGTTCGAAAGTAATGTAAATATAAAAACTAATTATAGATTGACAAATCTTACAATAAACAATATTATGAGAAATTCAGAATCTTGTGATGTCTGAAAGTCTTATGTTCTTAAGTTCGTAACTTCGAAAGTTGTATTTTTTACTGACACTTTTTTCTTTTCCGTCGTCATCAAAAACGCACTTAAATTATAAAACGATGAAATAAGTAATCATCTTAATTTTTATGATGCTCCGATTATTTTACTGCATTTTCAAGCACTTTCTGAAAACTGAAAGAAATTCCGAAGGCACTTTTGTGTGCCAAAGTTGCGATTTTAAATAATCATTCGCAAGGAGATGAGTACGTTTTAGAACCATTTAGATGTTTCGAAAGACTCCACGCCCTCGGCCTTTAATCTGTTCAACATCGGTCGATAAATGTCTGATGTGAATGGGAGCACTATACCTCGCTGCTGTATCTCACCTATATAACAAAAAAAAATATTAGTTTCAAATTAATTAATATTTCCAGACAATTCGAAACATATAACAACGTCATAATGGATCTATACTGTGAAAACATTCAAAGCCCTCAGAAATAGTCCAATATCATTCTCTTGTTAAAAATTAATGATTTAAATTATTATTCAATAAATGTTAATAATACCTTTAAATGATATTTGAATGATAAAAATTATGCATGTGCGTGTGATATTTAACCTTGGTATCGAGCGACAAGACCTTATCTTAACTTCTCTTAAACCACGAGTAACATCACTCGTATTTAAAAGTAAAAATATATTGTCTCGTAATTTTATTTTTAATTTTTGCCTTCTTAAATAGTTTATTTTAATCGTGTTACACACGGCTTGCTTTGAATTTTTAATTCATTTAATTGATGTAAAATGCAATCTTACCGTCCAGAATCATTTTGACCGCTATAGCGGCAGGATAACCAACGGTACGAGACATAGCAGAATGTCCATTAGGATCTCCGTATATAACTAAATTAATTCCTTTACGTTCTCTTCGGCTATCTGGCCATAAGATCCCAATATCATGTCTGAGAATAACCAAATCTCGCTCATTCTTCTCGAAACATAACATTTTGGACAAATAGTGTGTGAGTGTATCAAGGGGCGTGTGCAGTTTCAGAACAGGATCCTCATTCAAAATGCCCAAATCCTCGATTGCTTGAACCCGTTTTTCCGAATTAACTCTATCAGCCAATTTCATCTTCAGATTCTCATAAAATATGTTATCACTTTCCAATCCCAAAAGGTTGCACACTAAAAATCGCTGAAAGTATTTAGTGTCGATGAGAAATTATTTAATAAAGCAATAAATTCCTTCTAAAACTGTTCCATGCAAATTAAGGATAAGCATAATGCATTTTTAAATGATTTAAAAATACTTCTTCGGAAAATCTACACCCAAAGAGGTAAAACAAAAATGACCTAACATAATAAAGCCCCTTGAATAAAAAACGAAATAAATGTATATGCACATAAAAAAACCGTTAAACATACGCTATTTCATTGTACAGATGCTTCTTTCTAGAATTACCCACCAAACACAGTTATGTAACAGTAGTATAAGCATATCATAATATTTGTAACATATAAGTAATATTTGTATTACCATTTCCTAAGCAGATGTGTAACGCTTATAAAACAAATAACGTAGCATATACATAAAATATTGGTAACATGTTACATGTTATATAACTGCAATACTGACAAGTTTATAAGAATGCTACCGAACGGTAACAATTCGATATTATATGATATCAATATATCTTTTAAATAACTTTCGTTATGTATCGTGTTAGTCCAGGATTATGTAACTGTAGCATAGGGTGTTTGGGAGGTATATATTTTTTTGATTAAGCAGTACGCCAGAAAATAGGTCCGATTACTTACCCACGTAATATCGGGTCCATTAGGATGTAATATCGGGTGCGGATTTGGATCTATAAGACCTAACAGCTGGAGTCCTTGTATCGTATCCGCAAAGCCCTTAAACCTTAAGGTACCGCGCAATACGGTAAGTGCATCCTTAATTCCATACAACTCCCTATACATGGTGCTGTCGCGGTTTGGAAAGCCTTCCAATGCAAAACCAGGTAAGAAATCCAAACCTTGGACAGCGGACATCAGATCTCCCCCACCAGAAATTTCTACCACCTATTGACAAACATTTAATGGAATTATTCGGTAGAAACAAAAGAAACCTTTTTATTAGGTCATTCCAAATGTTCTACCGTATCGAGGTAGCCTATAACATCTGCAAAAACGGTAGAACTTTTGAAATGACTTAATACATGAAAACCACCGAAAGAGATTCCGAACAATCGGTGAACTATACCTGTGAGATTTTTATTAAAGTCACTTAGATTAATCATTACTCACCGACAACAAAAAAGCTGATAAATTAACTTATGTACATTCGTAAAAATTGATTAAATGGCGTTCTGCGCGTCAAAATGTAACGTTTATAAGCTAGGGTACAATTGTTGGGAGTTAATTAGATTTTACCTGACCCTCGTGTAGATACTTCGCCGGTGAAAGGGTATTCAACAAAGCTCCTCTCGGCGACCAACTGAACTTATATCGTAAAGGATTAAACGAGTACTCCGGAGATGGCAAACCACCGCACCAGGAAACGAACGATTCAATTTTTCCCCCAGCTTGTCGTACATCGTCAAAACATTCCAATGCTAACAAATGGTCAATACCAGGGTCCAATCCAACCTCGTTCAATACTGTAACGCCAGCCATCTCGGCCCTGTAAAATATTAAATCGCGTATTTAATAATATGGCAGAGTTATTTGCATAATTACTATAGTACTCATTATAAATTATGTATATAGACACATCTTTCCCCAGGACTCTCACGTTGACACAATTTTTAGAAGAAAAGATATTTGATTTCTTGGGCAACATTTTTCCATCCTAAAAACTTCCCTTTCAGGGATACCGATGCTTTGATAAGGACGTTTTTTCATGTACAATCTCATTCCATCGGTTACTTAAATTATTTAAAAAATAGGAAACAATTTTAAGTAAAGGTATATCTTACTCTTCGTGCAACGCTCGGACTTGATCATTTACATAACTAGCTGTCACCAGATGAGTCTTTGTCTCTATACATGCTTTTACGATAACGTGATGCAGCGAGTACGGCAACAACGACACGGCCACATCAGCTGAAGCTACCACATCTTGCAATGTGTCTGGTCTTTCCAAAACATTGAGAAATACGGATTCGACACCCGAATATCTGTTCGCCAGAGCATCAGCCTCTTCCTTCAAGTTCGAGGCTACCACTATGTGCACATTTTCATCTCTATGAAGATACTCCACCACGGGAGCTGATACGTATCCTGAGCCCAATATAATGACCTAAAATCCAACAAACAGAAATACAGTTAACAAACTGCTCGATTAGCGGCATACTTATTATCACGCACAGCGATGTCCAAGAAGATGTCGTGAAAATTTCATATACCTTCTTCATATTCTTAGACGCGGTGATTCTATTCGCATCTGCCTATGTATTTGATTATGCGTGAAATACTCTGCTATTCAACACCGAATGCATGTAGCAAATGGCGGCCAACGTTATCAATCGTGAATTGAGAGGATAATAATAAACCAGTACTGGGGAAAACAAACTGAATTGACACTAATAAGCAATACAACGGTGATGTGAAGTACATGTAGAATTAATTCACGTGATAACGATGAGTCAATACTGAAAAAGTATTACCGAATCCGACCCTGATGGACGTATTAATAATCTTAATCATTTTCCGCGTCCATTCACTCTATTACCATTTTGAATATTGAAATGTTTTAACTCAAAGAAAAAATTATGAACAAAACTATTCTTTCACGAAATGCCCTTACGCGTTCGACATTGGTTGTTTTGGGTACTTTTATTGTTACTTCTATTATGTTGATTTCACTTTAAATATCAAAAATTAACTGGGAGAACGTACCAATAGAAACAAAATCATCTGCGCACATTATCTCAATACTAGCACACAAATATCAGGGGAAATAGTAATTAACTGTAAAAAAAATCGTTCACTTTTCAAAACAGGACCCTTTTCGTAACATGCTTACTTACAGGTACTACAGTGCCTTAAGAAGTTTCACTTGAAAAAATGACCCAACAACCAAAATAGCACATCGTGTCGGTATAATAAAATGATAAATATAAAAACTAAACACCTGTTCCGAGCGCCATGTTATACCTTCAATCATCGAATTTTTACACCTGAATGTCAATACTGCACGATTGCTAAAATGGAGCGTCCTACCAGAGCACGCAAAACTCACTGAAATCGTCATTTATAAGATAATACACGAATGGGACTGATTGAAGTAGTACATATCCAAAATAATTTAACATCAGTGCAATAAAAACTGAAGAACATGATCCAAAATGAGGGCAAACCCTGTTAGTAACATTCTTGCTTCAAGATAGTACAAAAAAGTACGACGAAAATACAAATTGTGACCCTTTGAGGTGATAAAATTCAACTGACAGTGAGAGGTAACTTATTTTAACGCGATAGCGATTCTCCTATAGACATCATCATCCTCTGCTTAGCTCGACGACTTTGCGCTCATCCCTGAGGAGAAGATATCGCTCACCTGGCTGACAAGCAAGGTGTAGTCAACCAAAAGGTCATAACCACGTACTCAGGCAGATTATGCTTGTGCACTAGCTCGATGGCATAATGGCGTCCCTTGGGTACCTTGAGCATGCTCACCGACCCCTCGATTAGAGTACTCCCTTTCAGGGAAAACTTAGCATTTCCCATAAGGGAAAACAAAGTTCCTCCTAGGAGAGAACCATCGGCAGATGAGTTATTTACGAGTTACAGAGCTTCGGAGATTATGAGAAGAATTATTCAAGGTAACTCCCTTGAGACGAAGTACCAGTCTGACGATGCCTTTGTGGGCTTCCAAAGGCATGCAGGGGAGTTTTCATAAATTAATAATTATCTACTACATAACTGAGATAATCGCAATCGACTACTGGTCTAGAGTAGACAAGCGTCGTGAGATAGTTCTAAGCAAAAGTGAGTAATTACTGCAATATGAGGACCCAGTACCAATGAACGATGCTCTGCATATTTTGCATCTTTTTCTTCTCGTTTGCTCCTTACATCACTCGCATATAATGAATGAAAACTGCCATTTGATATTAAACATGTAATAGAGAATCACTGTGATAATCGGATGAAAAAATAATGAATCTGAAATTTCAGTAAGTACGGACGTAAGGAGGTAAGGAAGTAAAGGTACCTTCTTTCTGATAGTTTGGCCATTGTCCGCTTTGTGTCGGCTACGCTGATTCAATTGTCGCATTTCCTGGATATATTCGAAGTTGGGGGTCAAACGGCCATTTGAAGCGATGATTGCTCCGTGAACAGCCGGACTGAAATTATGTTCTTCCAATGGTTTCTTCGCATCCGAGTGGATGATATCCAGAGCATACGGAAAAAGAAGATCTCCGAAAAAGTCAGTCGATTCCCTTGGCAACTGAGTGGGCATGTTATCAATCGAACACACTAAGACGCCTGGGCCCTTGAAGGACTTTGTGTCTTTGTTGCGATCGGCATCATAAAGACAGAACGGTGTATCAATCGTCGTACACTCGTTCATAAATCTGGCACATAGAAGTAAATAAAAGTCTATGTGATATCACGAATTGTAGACATTCATATAAAGAGATTCACGTTTGCTCACTTATGAAGTTTAGACTTTTATTTAGCCTTCAAGCGTTTTAAGATCAAACCTTGTACGGAAACTTGTTCCTCATCCTGCATACAAATAGTATAAATTTATTACTTGTAAATATGTACACACGCGTGTACAGAGAGGGAAGAACTTCCCTTACAAAGTTAGGTCGTAAAACGTCTGAACGCTTGTACAGGAACTTTTTCTCCACCTTGCATTAATGCAATTGAAATCGCAAAGTGGAATCATTAAGAAGATATCTTCTGAAACATTAATTCGATTTACGAATTTTAATAGTACGACATGATATCGGTAGCTTTTACCTATCATTTAAATTCACGTTGGAGCTAAAGAAAACGAAGTCACCTAATGACACTAAAAATTATACATTTTCTGAGGCTTCTTTCAAAATTTCTAGATGAAAGCCTTTTAACCACATAATAGTTTTAACTGACACGATACAAAGTAGAGTTAAACGTATCAATTTTAAGCAGCTTAGAGGTAACTCGAATTTCATTTTATTTTTTGGGAAAAGGAAAATTCGCCTTACTCAATACTGCCGCCAGGATCAGCTGATATATCGCAAATGGCCAACATCCTGTGAGGTAATGCAGGTGCACCGACACTCGTTGGAAGCCAAGGCGTATAAGCTGGCCTTAACAAGTCCTTTGCGTCTGGTATGGTTAACAATTTTGGAGAATCCACCGCCCAGTAGATCCCATTGACGATGATCGAAGCATATGGAGCTATTTTCTTACTGAACGTGGAAATGTATCGCTCCGGATGTTTTACGTATTCTTCTGGATCGAAACCCCCTCCGTCCTTTCGTTCCAGGTGATGTCGCCTTCTCACTTCACACCCATAGACTTTTGTCGCGTCTGTATACGTACATAAAATAATGTAGTGTCAGAAAATATCAGTATATTCAAGGAGGTGTCTTATATATTCAACGACTTCTCATTTACCGCCATGTTCTGCAACTTTTCGCAAAGTTTCCGGTGGAACGTATTCGTGAGGAAGTTCCTGAAAAACTTCCTGTCCTCCTTGGCTGACGTTACCGCTGCCAGTAAATACAAATGTCAATGGACCGATTGACTTTGGCATAGCCCCTAAAGCTATTTCATAGCCTGCATCCCGTATCGCTTGGCGTGCTGTTGCTGAATTTCTGTAATTATGCGCGGGTCCAATATGCTAAAACAAGACCAATAATACGTAAATTGCACAGCGGCTATAATATGGAATTTATACGTTCAACGTATAGAAATGAATTAAGAAAACGTAGTAGTAATTAAATCGACGGGAATATAAAGATACTAACTCTTCATATTTCATATCTTGTACCGTTACATAAATGACCATTACAGCCTTATCTACCAAAACAAAGAAAAAGAATACGTATCCCAAAATATGCTCTACTAAGTTAATCGATGAAGATAACGAAATTAATTGACAATTTTTATTGTCACTTAACTTCCCGATATGGCAGAATAATAGAACAAAGTCCATGACCCTTGCAAAATTATTAGGAAAATAACTATAGAAATTCTATAAAAACTGGTGCAGTAAATTTCATGATTACCGCGTATATCTTGCGTCTTTACATGTAATTGGCTCGAAACTCTACTTTCTTTATATCAAGTTGCCCAGAAGGTCACTGTGGTTTTTGATGCTCAAGATTTGACGCTTAATTTTCAAATATAGTTGTTTTTCCATTACATCCATGTTATCCACCATTTTAAAGCGTACACTTCGTTCTACATCTTGATACCAATAATTGTGCTTTAAATATTAATTTTTGTTTTATGTAGACTATTTAATTAAAGATGGGAAGGGAGCAAATTCGGACGATATCTTTGTACGAGTTCAAAATTGATCATAAGGTAACTGTGAGGGCTCGAAATATTGACAATGCATTTGGTCCAAAAACCACCAGCGAGGGCACAATAGTGGTTTCAAAAGTTCCGTGGAAAAGACGGAAAAGCCTTGAAGATCAGGCGCGTTCTGAACAACCTGCAACTATTGACGCAATAGAAAAAAAAAAATTAATATTTAAAATACAATTACTGTTGCGTTATGAACATACCATAAACGGAGTATGATGACCCAAAGCCAACAGTCGAAGTCCCAACCCGTGCAAAATGTTGACCATACCAGCGACTCCTGCATACTTTCCGAATGCCACGACTCGCTGGCCATTATCATCAGTTAATTTTTCATAATCGAGCAACCTAATGTTCTTCTCAAGGACGGCATCCAACAGCGGCATGTTGCCCTCTTGTGCTTTGATGGTGTGCGAGAAAAAGCAGTAAGTCTTGTTCGGTATGAGCTGATCTACGGGCACTTGCTTTACGCCGAAAATGACCGAAGCGGAGCTGATATCTTCTTGCAGGGATGCACCGGCATCCAGATAAGCTTTTGCTGGATAAGCTCTTCGATTGCTGGGCTGAACAATGACTTTTACTCCGGCACGGATCAACCGGCGCACATTTGATGGCGCCAAAGCTGCTCTTCTTTCCCATACCGATTGATCCTCGCGCCTTATCGCGATGACTTTACCTCTTAAGCTCTAAAAAACATTGAAAGTTAAAACTTAGGAAGAATCGCTATTTTCCCACAATTTTTTGAAAATTATACACATGCCCGCGAGTATTCCTTAATTCAGCATGGACTTTCACGAAACCCAAATAAATCAAAATTATGTTGATAAACGTTACAAAGCTTTAACGTTGCCAATACGATGACAAACGCTACGTGTTTAATATAAAACATTTCACCGCAATTATTCAAATTACTTAAAACTAAATATATCCTTCTTACATTGCGATCGGAAATAGTCACGTAACAATAAATGTCCAATTAAGAAAAGAGAATACTCGTTTTCAATTCACAGGTACATAAAGAAACACTTACGCTTCCTCGCCATTCGCTAAAAACTTTTCATTACTTCATAACGAATCCGTATTCGCTCTGAAGATATTATTTCTTAAAAAACTAGCACTAACTTGTAGCTAATGACTGTAAGAAGAACTATATTCACCGAGTTTTGGGTACATTCTCAGGTATACTAAAAGAAACGCTTATGAAAATTGTTCTCAACTGCTCCGGGGAACCACGATACAACTGTTTAAATTTTAACGTGTAATTAGATTCTTAATTGCTGAAAGTCTGGTTTTGCTATAACTAAAGATTTAACCAGAAGAGAAATATAACTTACGCTAATGAAACGCGCTCGCACGAGAACAGTTTGGCACGTGGCTGCCGGTCTGTTGAATGGCGATGCACATCTCAGCGCATTTGAAGCCAAGAGTCGCATGGCCCCGAAATTAATAATAGATCGATTCACTTATCTGCACATGAATAATATCGAATACTTAACGCAAGCTACCACCCTCGCTATCGCGTACTTGCCGGACTCGTTGTACCGAAACTTAACTTTTCTCGAGTCAACGATCTGGTAGTACTTGCCGGCGTGCTCTCTGACTCGTGCCAAGTCAAGACCGATGACTACCCTACACGTCTCGTGGGTTACGGGTTAGAGGAGGTATTTCCAAATCGCCGATAAACTCCGGGAACTCGGAAGATCTCTTATCTTTATTTACATTTGACCTTTCCTGGCAATATACATTGAAGGGAATACCGAGTATCGCCGGAAAAATTTTACCCCTCGAGCACCCCGCCGTTTCCGTAGCTTCTTATCGCCACACAGAGAAGAAGCAACGATAAGAGGCGCGTTGGTAAGAGCGCAATTGTTCAGTTCCTTGTCAGAATGTTTCTACCAGTCTATCCTCGCAGTTTCCCGATCTATAAGTAGCAACACTTCCTAGTATATGAAATCTCGCGAGTCCAAACATCATAAATACAAACAGTGGAACACTGCCATCCACGGCGGGCTGAAATCAGCTAACAAATGGTTACAGAGTGTCGAAACGTTTCTGGTTTTTAATTTCATATAACGAAATTGGTGGTAAGAAATTCTGCTCGCTTCAAATCATTACAATTACGCGTATGAAGCTTTCCTCAGGCCCAATCACTGTATTCTCATGCCTTGCAATGAACGCACACGGTACACGATTACTCATAACCGTTTAATTAGGTCAAAATTATTCTCTACAGTTTTATGATTACAATATTGTCGACATTTACAAAATATGAAGAGAACTCTGTTCAAAATCGAATTTTAATTGTTGTATCTCGATTTTAGCATTTTCTCTACTAAGATTTTGCACCGTGTCGGGTTATGAGGTCTTACTGAATCCGTCCGCAATGCACTTCCAACATGCGACATGTGATTATCATATAAGAATTTGTATACTTTTAAAATGAATTTTGAAAATTGAATAAATGGTTTCAGTTCTTAATATCCGCCCCCTCGGTGCCGGCAGGTTCAAGTATGGAACGCATCAATCCACAACGCTACAATAACAGATTTTTGTGCAATTTTTTAGTAAATACAATTATGGTAGTAATTAGAAAATCTTTTCTTAAGAACATATATATATTCTAAATAAATTCTCATAATACATATTTATAAATATATTATTTTCATAAATAATTCCTAAAGGCTCGACCACAGCAGCTTACACTGTAGATTCAGTTCTAATAATCCCTTTATATAAAATTACCGCGACTGCAGCTTCGCGTGGATCGATTGGATGGAAAAATTGATAAACCTCAGATTATAGAATAGAATTTTCTTAACATTCCCATAAGAATCTACAATATTATCGTATGCGTAAATATCGGGCTTAATTTATTCGAAAATTTCTATGGAAATAATATTCAATTTGGTTGCGCTTTAATAGATAAGTACATTTTATTCTTAATTGTTTGTTTCGTAGGGTTAATTTTCTTCAATATTTGCGTCATCACGTTCACTAATTGTTCGGACGTAAGTCCAGTCTTTTTGGATTTGAATTTCTGCAGAAGTTCAGTAGTCGTCATTGGCTTACGCATCAGATACCGTCTAACTGCATCTTCCGTAATTCCGGACTCGCTGCAATATTATTACAAATTTTCTTGAACTGTCAGATTAAATATTAGACTTTCATTTCAACATTTTAAGTAGACTTGTATGATAATTAATAAACAATGTAAAAATTGTAAATTATTTCTTTGACACTATAACCATTAACATATTTAACCGTTTCTATTTACTTTTAAATTAAGACATCTCTTATGCTGTTTGCAAAGTTCTGACCATTTACGTGGTTTCTTACCACTTTAAACAACATAACTACTCCAAACGTCAATCAATTACCGTCTGCCGAGTCTTCATCTAGTACATCTTTTAAAGGAATAGTAAAAAATAGATACAGAAATATTCAGTTGGATATCACTCACCTCGCTCCAGGAATGTAAGAAGTAACTGGAACCAAATTGAAATTGTCCAACTTCAGCTTTTTGGCCTGCGATAAATCTGGGGAACTTGTTTGTTTTCTTTTAAGAGGATCAGCAGCCGCGGTGGCTGCTGCAGCAGGAGTAGGGGTAGCAGATCGCGAACTATGGGCACTGTTTGGTTTCTTAGTATCCTTTTCCTTCTGAGCATCCGAATCGGATTCAGAGTCGCTAGAGAAATCACTAGATGAGTCCTTTCCAGACGCAGATTTTTTGGTGTCCTTCTTCTTTGATTGTTTCTTCTTTTTCTTCTTATCCTTCTTTCTGTCTGCGTCTTTATTCGATTTATCTTTATCCTGATAACCAAATGGAATTAGAGTAAACTATTTGAATAAAAAACGGGATCAATTGTACATAGACAACACATTGATAGTAATGCACAAGTGATCTACTGCAACTGGAGCAAAAATGAAAGATAGTTGCGAAATGGTAGATAATAGTAGACAAAAAAAACAATTGATACGTCTAAATGACTAATATCTGTCTGATAGTTCTTACTTTGTCATCTTTGTCCTTATTTTCTTCATCTTCCTCCTTTTCCTCTTCTCCATCTTTCTTTCCTTGTTCCTCTTGATCTTCATCTTCCTCGTCAGATACCAACAATTTTCTCAATGCGTCTTCTTCAGCAACCGATTTAATTTCCTTTTGTTGTTCCAACTCTGAGCCTGAATCTGAGGATTCTGAAATATAGTCGCATTCACGTCCTTCCTCGTCTCCGTCATCGCTCTCCTCAAAAGCTTCATCATCCGAAGCTTTTTTCTTAGGCTTTTTCTTTTTAACAGCAACTGGTTAAAACATAAATTGTCTCGTATAATACGACTGGAAAAATATCATGTTAAATGTTTTTTGCCTCTAAATAACAATAATTAATTATGCAACATTTTCTTGAATAGATGCATACCTTTACTCTTCTTCTGTTTAGCTTCCTTTTCTTCATCAGATGGTTTCTTTTCTTCGTTATTGTCACTGTCCGAATCGTCATCATCAGAATCCATCCATTCATCCATTTCAGAGATTTTGAAATCTTTTTCCTTTTTACCTATTCTCTTCCCTATACCTCCTTCTGCTAATTCAGGATCATCTTCTGCCCCATCGTCATCATTACGCAGCCTTTTTCTGAGCATCAAAGAAAAGTAATTCATTACCTTATTTCTTCTGCTGAATTCTTGCTCTGCTTCTTCAGCACTAAGTGCTTTGTATCTTTGTATGGGCTGAAAGTTATACCTATAAAAAGAAATAAAAGAACAATGAAAACTTAATCTAATAAAACTTCTAATTTTTCATTACTTTATTTAATAAAACATTAGTCCTAATAAAACTAAATGTTCATGAAATATTCTTTGATAAAAACACATTATTCATTAATGCTCAAAACACTCAGAAATCTTACCGGACCAACCCTGTACATTCTGAAAATGAAAATGACTTTATGCAATTATTTAGATGTATGAAACTCACCACTCATGTAAAGGAAACGCTTCTATAGCCCCATCGGCCGCATGCGTAAACACATAGTATGCTGCATTCTCACTAACGCCTCCTTCACGTGTGCCTTTAAATTTCTTTCCAGTCTTTCCACCTGATTTAAGAATCCATGGCTGATCCTCTGGTTTATATTTTCTGCTACTAATGCCAAATTTTTTCCTTCGAGCTTCCTCTCTTGCATCGCGACCAAATTCAGAACCTGCCCCAAACTTCGGCATTTCCTCATCCATACCTTTATATTCCTTCATGTTATTTTCACGTTCCATCTTAATCTGAGACCACTTTGAGAAGTCAACATTCATGGTTGCATTGAATCTCATCACATTATGTTTCTTCTTACTACTCCTATCAAATATAATAGAACATTTTAATTAGGTAAAATGAACTAAAATAAGGTATCTATATATATAAAAGCAAATACTGCAAATGAAATTCTTAATTAAATAATATTAAATTAATCAAGGTAGCAATTTTGTTTTTGAGCCTGAATGACCAATAACCCAGAAGCAGCCCTAATTCCCTTTGTTCTCTTCGTTATCAAGTAATGTATCATACCTCGATATAACCGTTTATTGATCAAATATAGAAGCAATCAATTTCTTAAAATGAGTAACTATTGCATATTAACCACTTTTATATCGAGACATGCTTTAAAATACTCCAAAATATACATAGTTTTATGTAAACAATGTAACAAGCAATTGCCAGCTGTTTACATATGTCTAAGATTTTAGTTAAACATTGAATATTAACCCATCTAAAGTCAATAATCCACCATATGCATCATTTACATTATTGATCCAAGATTTTATAGCAGATACTTGCATCTCTAGTTAACATTTGTACTTACTTTGGAACACGAATGCTATACTCCTGTACTGATGGAGCGGCCATTGTCTATAAAATAATAAACATACATGTACATTACCAGTCTGAATTATGCATCTAATATTATGTGATTAAGCACGAACCATGTATAAATCTAAGTTTCCATTAAAAATAGAATTCCGCTCCAAACTACCAAAACCTATTTCTTTCGAGGTTATGTGGATTAATCAAATTCCTACATCAGTTTCTATAAAATACAGAAGAAACCCACCTTAGTAACTGAAGTTGCACTCATACTTATAAATAATTATACTACTTATTATATATCCACGTCTAATTATTTTAATCTCACTACTTAACAATTACACGAACGAATCACATACAATTCTTTTAAAGGCCTAGGATCACCAATTCGGTACGATTGTCAAGTTAAAAATGCGTTGAAGAAATTGTGCACGGGATGGTTTGCTCGATCCAGGTTGTGCTGCCCCCAACGGAGAATTCAGAAACTCGCTCAATTTGTGTGCTGCCATCTATTGCCCAAGATTAATAACTCTTACATACCCCTATCCAGGGTTGGGCAGATATAATACGTCATGTAATACACGTGATTTTCTACGTATATATTACAGCGTATAATACGTTTCCAACTTTCTACGCGAACGCGAAGTATATTACACCCTTCTATTTCTAAACAGAAAATAATAAATTCAGATAGAAATTTGATATTAAACAGGGTTAAGTCGAAAGAATGTTGAACACAAGCGCCAAATCAATTCCTTAAACATTTTGACATGTTAAAATGTGCGCTAAAAGACATTTGTAACTTAACGGATACATATATCATGCATCTGCGGCAACCGCCTTATTGGAAACGTAAACATCTAAACAATTTTGAACACAGGGCTAAATTAATGTAGTATTCCTTATAAATATTTACATGCTTACATGTGCGTGAAAAACTGTTTATAACCTAACGAATGCCGTATATCATATGTTCACATGAGGCATTCTCCATGACAGAAACGTAATTCGCTGGTTTTCTACGATTTTCTACTGTAAACTACCTGGTTTACGTAATACACGTCAAAAATCTCAAAAAACGCGAAATTACCTGCCTTTATCCATGAAACAAACAATACAACTTCATATTCAACGAACCGATGTATGCAGTAATACTATTCGTACAAATATATACGATAAATAAAAGGAAACCAGATGTCTTCCCTTAAGAACAATCTTTCTGTAATAGAGTTGCGCAGCGACACATCACTCGAGTTTTTTTTTTTTACGTGAAATATCTTAACAAAGTATTTTACATAAAAACCAAGTCAAATATCTGATAAGTTACATGGCGATATAGTAATCTTATTTTTTAAGGTATCCAATGTGTGCATCATTCATAAATAACATTTTAGTCAAAAAGGGGAAAAGGATTAAATAATCATGTCAAACAGGAGCCAGATCTCTAAGCCTTCAACATTGCACTTTTGAAAAACTGGCAAACTTTCCATGGACAACTGCTTTTTTTTTATCAAGGCAGAAAGTTATACCTTCCTCACTTTCTTTAAATGAAAGTCTTGATTAAAAAATTCATAGTTTTCCATGGGATGTGGAAGTCTGGAAGATCTTTTGGCTACTCCTGGGTCTTCCTAAAATGATCAAGAGTACTCCTTACCCTTCTTTAGCACTTCTCTAGACATACAACTTTTTGACATTTGCTTAAACATTTTATATTTTGTTCCTAACAAGACAAAAATCGAAAAGTTTAGATTATTAATTGAAAAGTCGCAAAAATAAATGGAGAATAACGAAAGCTTATTTTTGGTGCTTTATTGGGACACCTTAAATATTATCTAAGGTGCCTTAACAAAAAGTGCGGATTTGGGACCGAATACGCTCAACAAATTCCTGATTATTAAATAGGACTTTTTTTAAAAACTAGACAGAATTAAACAAAACTCTAATGCATTCGTTTTCACGGAATACAAAATAATTTAACACAGATGTTGTTTGCCGGAAGTAGAAGAAATCAAACAAATTAGAGTTATATTTCTTTTTATAGAATTCAATATAAGTCAGAGTATCTTATGTGAATAGAATAGAACAGAATTTAAATTTACAGAGGATTTATTTCTTCTACGTAAACTGGGCTTGTAGGAAAATCAGGTATCAAGTGAAAACAAAATCGTCCCTTTACGATGGAACTGTGAAATTTTGAATCCTATTCTGTTCGCCTTCTTCCTCTAAACCATTTTCAAATTCTGGTCACCTTAATTAATATGTAATTCAGATTTAACTGCAGTCAACAGAACGAGAGTGTTGTAAGTTGGTAATCGTGATCATAAAAATTAGTAGATGTATTCCATTCATATTTATTACACTCGATAAACACTTTACACAAGGCTTATATCTACACGGAAAAAAAGACATTTGAATTTTTAGCAAAAACAGCATTGTTGATTAAGGATTGTTCTTAATGCAGAAATAATCGCACTGACAGCAAAAAAGTTTGTAATTATTGATTCGTAGATGTAACCACTGGAAGGCTCTCTTTAGACAAAATGCTTGCTACATTAGCAAATGAATTTGTTGCAACGGCCAAAAAAATAATCTTATTTCTATTCATACGGATAAGTGATGTACAATTTGTTGTTACTGGAAAAGAATACTGCAACCGTGAATAGAATTTGTGTTGCCCTAGTGAAGTAATCGTTTTTTGTTGTCGATATAACAAAAGTGTTCCTGGACAAAAATGTTGCTGGCCCATTGTCAAGTGTTCGCGTTTGTTGCTGCAAGTCAAATTTCTTGTTATGACCATAAATTCTTTTTCTGCGTGTGTACGTGTTAAATTCTTACTTGTCATTTTCATTTTTCGAGTATCTTCATCACATCTATTTGGGATATCTTCATTTAAAAGGTATCTATTAAAGAGTCAATTGGTTGTCGGGGATGCTTTTTTATCAGCCGACGATACGACTGTTTACTTTTTCTAATACTTTACAGACCTGAAATCATTAATTTAAATTGTACATTCATTAAACTAATTCGTGTACAACAAATTTCCTATGCATATCAGTTTACTGAATTACACAGGACCTAAATATAAATGGATAAAAAATAAAAAAGACTTAACATCTATTTTTTCATGTGTTAATTCACTTTTCAATTACCTTTCCTCATCCAATAAGTCTGCAATTCACGAAGTAGTAATGTGAAAGCTACTTATTCTTCTACGCAGTTTCGACGATATGCGGACAAAATATTTGAGAGCATGTTCCATTTTCTTAAAGTGTATTCCGAAGAAACACTACTTATTGCATTTCATGCTTTCAGCACTTATACAAACTTTCAGTTTAAACAAAGTTGAAAATCCCCAGACTGGGTCGCATATATCAAGTCGTCAAAACTGAGAATTATTCGGGAATAGTTCCCAATCACAACAAGAATCGACATTCTCCGAACTAGCAGCCGAATTTTCAGGAATAAAAGTTAAATCACACGGCCTCGAAGTGAACATTTAAAACAAATTCATCTTCGGACCAAAGCCTGACACGATTAAATATCAACAAGCACATCGACCGTTGCCAGTGATTCAGCAACGACCTGAGGCCAAGAAACTCACGGCAATAAAAGTCCGTATTCGACCCGCGAGCCCCATCAATTCGATATTTTCTTAATCGTACTAATCGTGCGCACCCACTAAATCCAGAAAAGTGCAATAAACCACTAATTACAATAAATTACAAAGCATTCTTTAATCGGAATGCACTTGCACTCTTCACGCAGCCAATCCATTGCATGAAATTTATCGTGCTTCAGTCCCTTCCGAGGCTGGGAATTTCCTTCAGACAGCATCTGAAAATATTCCGTGTTACAACAACGATGACATTTTGGCATAAAATCATCGGAAAAATAGAGAAATCGTTATAAACACAATCGATGTCGTACCATTCGCAGGGAATAGCGAAGACCGGTCCGCGTGCAAGAACAGTAGGGTCTCTCTCCATGGTCCGCGCTCCCGTACTATTCTCGGCGGAGGTGGCGCTACGAGTTAGAGCTTGTGAACAGATGAGTGAAGGTCCTTGTTAGAGAACAATCATTGACTTTGAGCGATTCTCAGCGATCTCGTCAGAGAACAAGCATATCACCGACTCCGAAGATACGTCAGAAAAGCAGCATTCCCGTCGCTAAACGTACGTCGGCAAGAAGAGCGATCACCATGAGCGAGAAAGGAACCGCATCTCCCGTCGTCGCGTCTGGGACGAATAGCCCGAGCGTGCAAACTGCACCGACGAAGAAAGCGGCCGCACCGAAGTCGAAGAAGCCGCGAGCAAAACCGACGCATCCGCGCACCGCCGAGATGGTCGAAACCGCCATTTCGAGCTTGAAGGAACGCAGCGGTTCATCTCTCCAGGCCATCAAGAAGTACATCGCTAGCACGTATAAAATTGACGCGGAGAAGCAGGCCCCGTTCATCAAGAAGTACCTCAAAGCTGCTGTCTTGAAAGGCGCCTTGGTGCAGACCAAGGGCAAGGGAGCTGCTGGATCCTTCAAACTTTCCGGCAAGGTTGTGGAGACCACGAAACCAAAAGTGGCTGTCACCGTAAAAGCGGCACCGCCCAAGAAAGCTGCTGTTGTTAAAAAGCCCGTCGCTGCTAAGAAAGCTCCTACACCGAAGAAGCCTATCGCCAAAAAGACCGCAGCCAGCAGTAGTGCCGAAAAGAGGAAAGTGGCAAAAGGCCCAGCTGCGAAACCACCCAAGGCAAAGACCGTCGCCTCTACGAAAGCCAAAGCTGCCAAATCGCCGATAAAAAAGCAACCCAAGGCCGCGCAGCCCAAGAAAACTCCAACCAAGCCTAAGAGAGCTGCTCCCAAGAAAGCGGGAGTCACTAAAAAATGAACTATATAATTCCCATGAACCACGAGATCGAAAATTATCAAAGGGCCCTTTTCAGGGCCACCATAATGTTTCTCGTAAGAACAATCTGATCTCGTAATTGACATTGAAATGTTACAAAGTATCTTGGAAAAAGATATTTGTGTAATTGAATTAAGCAAATTTTACCACCATTGCTTCGAACCAAATATTACTGTTAATTATTTCTTTGTACATACTTTAGTCATTAGTAATTTTGTATTTCTTTTACAATACAGATTTCTCGCACAACCACATTTTTTGTATTCTCATATTAATTTTTTCGGTCAAATTTTTCATATTCTGACTATCATTTGCAAATTGAAAAATATATCGTCAGCTATTATTAATTCGCAGTTATATCTTAACGTGTTTTTCGTAAAACGTAAAGGTATCACTGCATCTATCTCATACAATATCAGAGGTACACATCCTTAGCACACCATTTGATAATCGAGCATTTGGATGTTAAAATGACCACAAAGTAAATTATTCATTTATTCCTTTTATTACAAGATTAGTCAAATATTGGACTCTTTCAAAAGTTCTCGTTAACATATCACTTGATATGTTATTCTTGAATACAATTCTGGCGTCCTGAAATAATTTCTTAAATATACAGGGGTTTTTACAGTAAATACGAATTGCTAAGGTGTAAAGAAAGAAGCGAACAAAATTGTTCGCACGTAGTTGTAAATGAGTATTCAGAAGAAATATCATTCATCAATTTAGTGTAAGATTTTTTACAATTATTACCCGTTCAATAAAAGAGTAAGCTGTTATTTATTTGAGACTTGGCTAATCTAATTACCGCGTTTAATTACGCGACGACGCATTAAGTCGACCCATCATAAACAGGCTGTGGAAATATTGAGCGCACCAATGGCGTGCCAGGAAACCAGAGTCACTCGTATAGCGCCACGTGATTGGTGCGGAGTACTTGCACCCCATGAAATCCTTTCCGCAAACATAATCCATTCTTTGTTATAGAAAGTTTGTTCTGGGCTTAGCTATGTACAATCTTAATCTTTTATACAATTTTTTAAATCCTATCTGGAATGAGCATTGTACTTTCCTCCTTTACCTCTCTTTACGCTCTTAATGACAGGACTCTCGAATTACGTCGTTCAAGCAATTAAGTTAATCCATATAAATAGCAGGCTTAAAGATTTTGGTTTCAAAACTTATTTCCCGAAGTCTTTTAAATTTAAAAAAATAACCTCAAAACCCTCATAAATTGTTGATACTGATAGTTCATCATGACGATTTCCTTGAATAGAAAACATTTTCCAAGTAACAGAAACTAAATACGTAAGGGAAGATTCGAGTTTAAGACAGAGTCCAATTCGTATATTTATAGAAAATTTAAGTTTATGAATTACTCTTACTGTATTTTAAGTCGTTCTGTAAAAGCATGCGTGAAACATTATATATAAACTATTGATTGAACGTTATCTTACTTCGATATGACAGATTAACTTATTAGGTATATACATTGAGTTTAATTAAAAAATTTAACGTTTAATCGTGAAAACAAGGACATTTCAAACACATTAGCTTTCTAACCTTTAATTCAACAAATGTGTTGCAGTTCCCTAACATTTTTAAGAATTGATAGCACAAAGTGTTACGATTATCCTAATTTGTAAATAGAGATATCAACTTAATTACTATTAATGAAAGTGAACATAACCGAATGTGGGCGTTTTAATTTAAATTATATTGGGTTGAATGCATAGATTGAAGTTTAAAGTATTTTGTAGAACTTACTTTTCACTTTCCGTACCGGAAACTAAATTGCTCTCAAGATGTTCTTAGGAAGAAGTATTTGGGGCCCTGAAAAGGGCCATTTTGTATAGTATTTTAATTTAAGCGCGTTCTCCACGAATGCGACGAGCCAACTGGATGTCTTTTGGCATGATGGTAACTCGCTTTGCATGAATGGCGCACAAATTGGTATCTTCAAACAAACCAACGAGATAAGCTTCACTGGCTTCTTGCAGAGCCATAACTGCAGAACTTTGGAATCGTAAATCGGTCTTAAAATCTTGAGCAATTTCACGAACCAAGCGCTGGAACGGTAGCTTACGGATTAGCAATTCTGTGCTTTTTTGATAACGACGGATTTCTCGAAGAGCTACCGTTCCTGGCCTATAACGATGGGGTTTCTTTACTCCACCAGTAGCAGGCGCACTCTTACGAGCTGCCTTTGTCGCCAACTGCTTCCTCGGAGCTTTACCTCCGGTAGATTTACGGGCTGTCTGCTTGGTACGTGCCATAGTACTTTCGAATGCCAAGAGCTAAGCGAAAGTGATGAAACAGCGCCTTCCGCGCCTCTTTTATATACGGTGGAGCAGCAATGCTGCGCGCTGATTGGTCGATACCCCGTGGTGGGGAGACGTCACTGCCTTAGCCCCTCCCCTTCTCTACACAACGTCTAGAATTGTAAAAATTGGTCACCTAATGCCTTAATATATAATTTTACATTTTGAATACTTAAACTAATGTTAGATATTGGCTTTTTAAAACCTTTTAAAAGATTACACATTATGCAGTGTGCTAAATATAGTAGTTATATATATTCTGAAACATAGAGAAATATTATAAGTAGAATGTATCAAGTAAAAAAATTATTAATATCTTTAAAGCTTTAAAATGACTACGAAACACTTTATATAATTTTGTGAGTTTTTCTAATAAATGTAATGTAATACAATATACGCGTCCAATTACTTCCCATATAAAGATACTGACAAGTAAGATATTTTCCTTCTTGTAAAACTTGAATATTCACTCAAAGAACTGCCTAGGTATACTTTGCGTTCAATAACTTTTTGAGCTTATTAGAGTGGCCGTCTGAAACTGGAATTTTAATCTGTTAAAAGATTATTTAAAAATGAATTAAAACTAGAAAAATAAAGCAATATACGTTATTTGACTGTAAAAAAAAATGAGTATGACCAATACAAAACAACAAAAGAAACAACAAAAATTGTTCTCAACATTACTCCTAAAATCCCGATAATTTAAAAATTTGTGTTTAAATGTATATCTATTTTCTTGGCATATGTGCACACGTGCAACATGAAGATTTTGAGCACTGATTTCAAAACAAATACAGTCGTTTACAGGTTGTTGAAACTTAAATGTACATGGCGACGTTCCTTACACCGAGCTAACAATAGGCAATTATATTCAGCGGGTCGTCCGACTTCCTTACCGCGCCAATCCGAAAAAGGGGTATTTATGGCCCCTGCAATAAGGGAATTACCGCCCGCGGAACCTTCTAGCTTAAAGTAGCGAGCAACACAATCTATTCTTCATTTTTCAATAGATTCCGTGTCCCTATAATATATACTAATCCGTTTCGAACCCTCGCTCCCAGCTGCAAAATGTGTCGCGCACATTTTTCGATTTACTGTTACAAGATAGTCCACCCTCTACGTCGCTTTTGGCAAATTTCGGACCCTCCCTTTATATTCTATTCCATCAATCGCGATGCGTTTGCTTACACCTCCACCTCCGGTTAAGCAAGTAGCATAACTTTCTCATCAAAACGAAATCAGACTTCGAGGAGTCTAAACAAAAATCAAAAGGACCGCGACCACCTCAGTCATCCCATCAAAAAATAGGATCCTTGCGCGCCAAAAGCAAACAAGGATCGGGAATCTGTGTTCCTTAGGATAACCTAGGCCGGCAGCACTGCCCTCCATCGTTACGTGCGACTTGCATCAACACAGATATATTAGTCATCGTAAATGACTATTGGTGCATTTTTATTAATCTAAGCCATTAAAGGATCCGTTGACAGATTCTCTTATATTTTTTCATAACTCGATCAAAGACCTTACATGGACTCAGTTTCGGGTCTCAAAGCGATAAAAAATTGATCATTCACCCTACTAATTGCTGTAACTCCCACACACCTTTATTTCGGGAGGAAAGGACAAACAGTACGATACTCCTACATCAGTACTTCAATACTCAAGAGTGAAAAGTCCTTCGAAAGGTTTCTTTCGTCGAAGACATTTGACTGCAGTAAGAATTGTGCAAGAAGACTGGCCGTGGAAAGGGAGGAAAGGAGGGAGAACAGGAAGGTTCTCCGTGATAACATTCCGGGTATTACCAAACCTTCCATTCGTCATCTTGCACGTCGTGGTGGTGTAAAACGTATCTCAGGTCTGATCTACAAAGAAACCAGAGATGTTCTTCAAGTTTTTCTTGAGAACGTAATTCGTGATGCAGTTACGTACACTGGCCGACATGAATGCCTTCCCATTGTGCCCTGGCAGCCCCGTGTTCACAGGGAAGGCATTTATGACCGCCACTGTACACCGAGCACGCAAAGAGGAAGACGGTCACCGTAATGGATGCCGTGTATGTCTTGAAACGTCAAGGACGTACATTTTATGGATTTTGAGGCTAAAAATTGTAGTAACCAGAAGTAGCCTTTGAGTTATTTAGCTAGGTTTAAGAAGGGACTCACAGGAGTCTACCTGGACGCGCCTAGTAGACCATAAAATAATAAAAGAGAAAAGTTCTTCGAAGGAAGAACCTTCGACGATTTCGAAAACGTGCAGCTCACGTGCACCCTGTATTTTAGGGCACCGAGGTCTTAGGCCTACCCTGGAAGAAAAGGGAGGCAGTCCGAAAACGACGGCGACGAACGAATCGAAGGGCGAAAGTCAAACGGCGGACTCGAATGGTGTACCTTATATTGTAATAAATGCTATCTTAGTTTCTTTTCCTTTTTTAAAGTAAAGTTATTTCTCTCATTTCTATATCCCTACAAAACCTTCACTTGACTTTTGACTTACTGGCAAAGGAGTACTAAACTCTGGGAATGTCAAACATTAATGTCATACGAAGCAGAATATACTTTTAAACTCCTTTTTTTATTTTCCGGTAGGAATAAATTGTTCAAAACTTGTCATGTAAAGAGGCAAGTACATAAAATTAAATTCATTTAATTAATACATTTGTTATGAATGTGAAACATAAAACCGGAATCGTTCAATTTGATAGATATATGAAAACATTTTGATACATTAAACACATCGGAAAGAATAGTAAGATAGATTACTTTGGACTGAAAGCGTATGCATATATTCAGTAATCGATATCATGAGAGTTCCAAACATAGTTGATTGATTTGGGGCCCTAAAAAGGGCCGGTCGATCCAGTGATTTATTTTGAGCTTGTGTATTTGGTGACAGCTTTGGTACCTTCACTTACGGCGTGCTTGGCAAGCTCACCGGGTAGTAAAAGTCGAACAGCTGTCTGAATTTCGCGAGAAGTGATCGTAGATCGCTTGTTATAATGGGCAAGGCGTGATGCCTCCGCGGCAATACGCTCAAAAATATCATTCACAAAACTGTTCATGATGCTCATGGCTTTGCTTGAAACTCCAGTATCAGGATGAACCTGTTTCAAGACCTTGTAGATATAGATGGCGTAACTTTCCTTCCTCTTCCTTTTCTTCTTCTTATCAGTCTTACTGATATTCTTCTGGGCTTTCCCCGCCTTCTTCACAGCTTTTCCGCTCGTCTTAGGAGGCATGTTTCAAACCAAAGATTCGAATTATACAAAAACAGATGCGCTCACGTTGAGTCTCGTGACTGAACTGTGCGGAGCACTGAACTGAACTGAATTTTGTGTGATGGGCCGGTCTTTATATAGACCTTCGCCCCGTCATCTTGTGAGTGGGGGGGAACGTGGTTTGATTGGATAGGAGCCTGCTAAGCGTGTTTAAGCGTGCAGTTTCGTGAGAGGGGAGCCCTTCGGCTATTGGTGGAGATTCAGGTGGCAGGGAGGATGGTTTTGGGACGTTTGGGTTTAATATGGAGTTGTGGATCGTAGTCGGTGGCTTGGCGTATGAGGGGATTTGGGTGATTGGTCGTGGTGGGGTAGAATTTTTTGGCTTGATTTTGGATAACGGTGGTGATGGGAGGTAGATTGGTGTCTTGATGGAGGATTGAGTTTCGGACGTACCAGGGCGCGCCTGTTATCATGCGGAGGGTCTTATTTTGGATGATTTGGAGGGAGTGGATTTTTGAAGGGGTTGCGTGACCCCAGATGGGGGCCGCATAGAGCATGATCGGTCGGGTAATTGTTTTGTATAGTAGGAGTTTGTTGGATAGAGAGAGTTTACTTTTCCGGCAGAGGAGGGGGGCCAGGGAGTTGAGGGAGCCGCGTCCTTTGTAAGCCGCGGATTGTATGTGGGGGGAGAGGGTGAGTCTCTTGTCTAGGATCACACCTAGGTAGGTGACTTGGTTTTTCCATGGTATGTTTTGATCGAATATTTCAAGGTCCTGAGTTGGGATGTGTTTTAGTCTTCGGGTGAATATGATGGCTGAGCTTTTTTCGGGGTTGACCTCAAAAAGCCAGTCTGTGAACCATTCTTCGAGAGTGTCCAGGGAGGATTGGATTCTTTTGGAGAGGAGGTCTACACTCCACGAGCGTGAGAGGACTGCTGTATCATCGGCATATTGAGCGAGGATAGTATTTTCGGTGAGGGGGATGTCGTGGGTGTATAGGTTGAATAGATGGGGGGAGAGGACTGCGCCTTGGGGGACTCCGGCATCGAGGTCTTTGGGGGAGGAGGTCGCTTCGGGGAGTTTGACCTGAAAGGTACGATTTTGTAGATAGGATGATATGAGGTGGATTAATTTGGGGCTAATTTTAGCGGTTATCATTTTGAAGAGAAGGCCGTGATGCCAGACCTTGTCGAAGGCTTTGGCCAGGTCGAGGAAAACTGCTCCGGTGGCTTGGTTGTTGTTAAGACCGTGGTAGGTATATTCGAGGATTCGGGAGAGTTGGTGTATCGTTGAGTGTTGAGAGCGGAATCCGAATTGGAAGTTTGGTGTGATTTCTAGGCTGTTAATGATTTTGGATAGTCTACTGAGGATGATTCTTTCGGCGAGTTTTCCGAGGGAAGGGAGTAGGCTGATGGGTCGGTAGTTTTGGGGGAAGGTGGGATTTTTTTGGGGTTTGAGGAAGAGGATGATGTTGGCATTTTTCCATTGGGTGGGGAAGTGGTGTAGTCTGAGCATGGCGTTGAGTATGGAGTTTAGGTGTAGTATGGCTTTGAAGGGTAGGGTTTTTAAGGCTTGGTTGGGGATAGAGTCTGGGCCGGGGGCTTTTTTGGGTTTGAGTTTGGCTATGATGGTTTGGATTTCGGGGGGAGATGTGGGGAGGATGTAGTCGGTGGGGTGGGTGCGGAGGAATCTGTTCACTGTAGACTCGATTTTGTCGACGTGATTAAGGTCAGCATGCGTGAGGTTTATTTGACATTGACTCTCGAGATAGTTGGCGAGAGTTTCGGCTTTTTCCCGAGGGGAGTATACCAGCCCGTTAGGACCATGTAGTGGAGGGATTTGGTAGGAAGTTTTGCCTCGGAGGATTTTGGACATTCTCCAGAGGGAGTTATCGTTGGTGGAGAGGGAGAGGATTTTTCGGTTCCACTGTTTATTATTATGGATGTGAAGGGAACGTTTCAGTTTAGTTTGGAGTGAGTTGAGGGTGTGTTTGTTTTCAGGGTAGAGTGTGCGTTGGAAAATTCGTTTCGCGCGATTTTTCAATTTGATAAGTCTGCGGATGGGGGGGGGGGGGGGGGGGAGGGGGAGTTGGTGGTCAGGGGGGCCGGTGGAGGCTGCGCTTATGTTACGTTTGATTGTGGTTTGGAAGTTTGAAATTGCTGTTTCGAGATCGTTTATGCTGAGGATTTTTGGGACTGGGCCTATTTCATTCATGAGTGTGGCGAAGGATTGCCAATCGGTGCGTTTTTGGGTGGGCGGGGGAGGGGAGATGGGATTGTCGAAGTAGAGGATGACAGGGTTATGGTCGGAGCTTAATTCGGAGACTGTCGTGATAAAGGGTTGTAGTGTGAGGTTTTGGTGGATGGCTATATCTAGGACATCTGGGCGATGTTCGCCACTGTAGTAGGTGGGTGAGGAGGGGCCGATTATGGTGATGTGAGGATGCATATCTGTTGAGAATTTGTCCGTTGGAGTTGGTGTTGCGGCTTTGCCAGGAGGGGTGTTTGCAGTCGAGATCCCCCGCCACGAGCCTTGGGTGGGGGTCTGGGAAGAGCTTGTTGAGATCGGTGTTCAGGAGCGGTTTTTGGGGGGATTTGTATGCGGAGATGCATAGGAGGCGTCCGAGGGGGGGGCCGGGGTTTATGAATACTGCTGTGGTTTCGATGTGTTGTGTGGATGGGTTAGGTCCGGGATAGTGGGGGATGGAATGTTTTACGTAGATGGCGGTGCCGCCACCACGAGTTGGTCTATCATTTTTATATAGGGAGTAGTTTTGGATTTTGGGTGTTTGGGAGGGGATAAGGTGAGTTTCATTGACTAACATTACGTCTATGTCGTGAGATATGAGAAAGGTGGATAATTCCAATTTTTTATGGAGTAGGCCGTTTGCATTCCAGAAGGCTATGCGTAGAGGATGTGGTTTATTGGCCATTGTGAGTTAAGAGGGTAGTGAGGTGTTGGGAGAGGGCTTGGAGTTTAGTTAGGAATTCCTCCAACGTGTTAAGGGGGGTGGGGGGTTTAGGGGTTGGGTTGGTGGGTTTGAAAAGCGTAGTGGCAGCTGGGGTGGAATGGTTCCATCTATTGGGAGGGGGTGGTGGGGGTAAATTGGAGGTTTTGGGGGTAGGGGTTGGGATTTTGGGGCATCCCCGGAAGTTTGCGGTGTGGGGGCCTCCGCAGTTGGCACATGTGGGGGGAATGTCGCGTTTTTTAGTGCAGGTGTATGACGGGTGGCCTTCCCCGCATTTAACGCATTTATGTGGTGCTGTGCAATTAATTTGGGAGTGTCCGTGGCGTTGACATCGGTAGCATTGCGAGATGTGGGGTTGAGAACGGAGGGGTTCGATTCGTACGCGAATTCGGCAGATATTAGTGATATTGTAGATGTGTTTTTGATCGCGGGGTATTATAGCTAGGAAGAGGGGCATGGGGGTTTTATCTTTCCTGAGCATGGGTATGATTTTTGTAGGTGTGATATTTTGGTTAGCTAAATCTTTGGCAATGTCGTCGAGGGAGAAGCAAGTGGGGATTCCCCTGATGACAATTTTAAGTGGAGCTTCTTCGGGTAGCGAGTAAGTGAACATTGGAATATCGAGGGAGTGGATGGTGGAAGTAATGCTACGGTAATCGTTAGTGGAGGATGGGGTGATTTTAATTCCGTCGGGGGTGTCGGTGGCAGAATTGAATTTTGAGTTGTTTGTGTCGAGAGCGTGTATTAGAGAGGGCCATTTGGTTTTGTCGGTGACGATGATGGGGGGTATGCGGGTGTTGGGAGTATGAGCTTGAGATTGATGGGGGGGTTGAGGGTTTGATTTTTTTGGGGGTAGGGTTGTGGGAGGTGAGACGGGGCGCGAGGATTTTCGTTTTCGTTTGGATCGTGCAGTTTGGTAGGG